CACCCCTTAGCCGGCTGCGCGGGCGCACGGGTCCGAATGGACTCCCGCACGGCTGGGATATCGCAGCGCCGGGTCCCGCTCAGCGCTCAGACCACTCGCGAACTTGACCATTCGGGGCGCTGGCCAGACCCTGCGCGGGGCAGTGTTTGTGTATGAAAAGTTTGCGTTGGGAGCTGGAGTTCTGCAGGCACCCCTCCCCCCCATCCCCTCCTCAATCTTTCCTGCGGCACTTCGGGCAAGATCCGGGTGAGGGACTCGCAAATCAATGGGACTGGCGGGAGGATGGGCAGAACCGGGGCTGGCTGGGCCTGACGTGGCAAGCAGGCTACCGGGGAAGGTGGGGCAGCCGGGTTGGAGGGAGAGGTCGTTCTGATGCTCACCTTGCCCTTTCAAGGACTGAGCTATAGGATGTCAGGTCAGTCCTGTTTTTAGAACTTTGTTTTCCTTTTCCTCAGTCCTAGTCCTGGATTGTGGGAGGTTGAGTCTCTGAGAGTTTTTATTTAGTTCATGGTGCTTTGAGAGAACTTTGTGAGTGCTTTCGTCAAATACGGGTTCTCTGAAAACTGGCGGGGGGTACCGCTAAGATCTCATGCAATTATTGCTTACACGTCACCAGTGAGTTGGCCCTGACCCTCCCTAGGAGTACCACATTTCTTGCAAGCATTGTTGGGAGGCAGTGAAATATACCTTTCTTAGGTAATAGCTGTGAAGTTCTACATTTCATTAACCCTAAAAACTTAAGAATGGTGTTTTTTTAAATTATTTCTTATAAAAATATACCTTTCTTAAATTTGGGTTTTTGTTTTATTTGTTTTCTTAAACTTGCTTTTGATGCTTTGGCCACAGTGAAATAACTTTTGATAAATTCAAGAACTTAATTTTATCCAGGTGTGATGGCATGCCTGTAATACCGGCACTGAGGAGATTGAGGTAGAAGGATGGCAGTGAGTTCAAGACCAGCCTGGACTAAATAACGAGACCCTATCTCAAAAAGATGGGAGTCCTAAAGGACTTCAGTGGCAGAGATTCCATTTAGCTGACTTATTTACAAAATTCTTCTCATCTAAAGTGACACCATGTCTTTGACTCTGCTGTTTGCAGGCCTCACCTGTCTCCCTGAAGCATAGCTGAGATCCAGGAAGTAAGCAAATCCAAAAAAGACCTTTGAGCGATCAAAATGGATTACAAAGTCCATATACTGAAACCAGTGTATCTGACTTGAAGGTGAACTTTCAATTTTTACAGAGTTCTGGGAGGCTCAAATGCATGATTTCCCCTGATAGTCACTTAATTGCAGTGATTCTGATAGTTAACATTTAAGCACTTGCTATGTACTAAGTAGCCAGCTAAGTGCTTTATATGGATTATGCCAGGCAGTCCATTTTAACCTTATGAAGCAGATGTTATTGTCCCTATTCTGAGAAGGAATGAACTGATTGTCAGGCAGGTGAGTAAAGTAGCAATAGAGCCAGGCATGAAGCAAAATCAGTAATTGACAATTAAAGATTTTAAATAAACGTCTGCTTTATTTTAAACTATTTTAGTTTGAATATTTGATGCCAGTAGTTTAAGTCCTTTTTTTTTCACTCAGATATTTTTTTATTTTTACTTATTTATTGTGGTACTTGGTGGATGAACCCAGGGCCTTCACAATGAGCTACATTGTCAGCCCTTTTGATTTTTATTTTGAGATAGGGTCAAGTCTTAGTGACTCCAATTTACGTTCCCTCTTAGCTTTCCAGAGTACTGAGGTTATAGGTGTGAATCACCATGCCCAGCTCGGATGTTACTTTTAATCTTTAAATTTACTCTGTGAGTCTCTTCCTTTTCTTTCTTAAATTGCTCAGAATCCCCTCTGGCTGGTAGTTAAATGTTACAGTATATTGTCTCTTAAACTTGTATCCACACTAAGAACTTTGGGAGAACTTGGTATACCTGGAGAAGTAGAATTCCAGGGGAACCTTGAGTAACAAGGATAAAGGGAAAGAATTTTGTTTTTTTGTTTTTGCTTTTGTTTCTGTTTTTAATATTCACTGTTTTCATTTGGAAACTCATTAAGGAAAATAATAAAGTACTTCGGTTAAAATGCTAAGAAAGGAAGATAAGGCAAGTTAAGTTTGTATTTCCCACGTATTCCTTAGACATTATTAAACTATTGTCATTCTCAGAATTAGGATGATTTTCATTCTGATATGGGAATTTTCCTGGCCTTTAAAAAATCAAAATCATAAAGATCATTTATTCAGAATTAAGTGCTAAATTTGACTGGCTGCTTTGTTTTTCCATACTAAGTTATAAAAGTTGTTTAGAGGCTTTTGAAAGAGTAAGAACTTGATAAGAGTTTCTCAAATGACTGGAATAGGAGACATGTACAGGTTGTGTTTCTCATCTTGAAAATAGTAGTATTAAGGTTCATTTCAGGATTTCAGCACCTGTGTTAAACATGGCTTCATCCTCGTACTTTCTACTTAAGGGTGAGGGGTGAGGGAGATTAATGAGGAAGCTGGAGATTGTTTTACTGGTAGTCTAATTCCAGAACAGCTGCCTTCATGGACCTGTATTAGAATGAAGCCCTGTGTTCTTATTTGAATCTTCATCCTCTTGTGGCTGTGTCTGCCATTGTCACTGCAGAGGGGTACCAAAAAAAGAAGTGTAAATGGCCCATATTACTGAGCTACGATTGCAGCTTTTTGTTGTTGTTTTGAGACAGGGTCTTGCTATGTAGTTCAGCCTAGCCTTAAACTCTGTAGCACAAGCAGCCCTTGAATTTGTGGCAATCCTTCCACCTCAGCCTCCTGAGTGGGATTACGGGTGTGCACCACCATGCCTAGCATTATTACAGTTTAATCCATAGTATCTTCAAATTGTCACTCTTGTTTTTTTTCCTAAGACAGTCTTGCTATGTAGTTTAGATTGGCCTTGATCTCACTATGTAGTGTAGGCTGACCTCAAATTTGCAGTAATCCTCCTGCCTTAGCATTTGGAGTTCTGGAATTACAAGTGTTTGACAGAACGCTCAGCTTGTCACTCTTGTCTTACAGCCCTGACCTGAGTAATTTTGGGACAACAAGCTGTGGTTTTTAGATGAAGGGCTTCCTGTGTATAGATTTTCTCGTAGGCTGATAACTGTTAAGGGTGTTGTATGTACTGAATATAAATGACTAGTGGGAGTCCTCTAGTATCAATGACTCCCATCTTCCCCTGGTCCCTCTCCTTCCTTCTAGTGTTGCTATGCAGGCTGTAAACTTTTCTCTCTCTCTTTTTTTTAGGGTCTTTTTTTTGAGACAGGGTCTCACTTTGTAGCCCATGCTGTCTCAGACTCACAGTGATCCTCCTGCCTCGGCCTCCTGAATGCTGGGATTACAGGCGTGCGCCACCATACCTGGTTTAGGCTGTAAACTTTTCAATCTACCAGGTGTGACAGGCGCAAACTGTCTCTGTTTCACATAATTGGATAGTTTGTATAGTACTTATAGAATCTTTTGTATCATGTTCCCAGACTCTCTAGCCTCTGTACATTTCAGTGCCAGTATCTTCCTTGCTCTTAAGCATTTATTTACCACCCACTGTGTGCATATCATTGAGACATAATTCGGAACAGCAGCTAGAAGCAATCAAGTTTTCTGTTCTCAAAAAAGCTGCAGTGGTAGAATGTGCACTTAGCATATACAAGGCCCTAGGTTTCATCCCCATCACTGAAGGACAAAAAAAAAGGAAAATTCATTTGAGATAGTGAGGCATGTATGAAAAGATAAAACTGTGCCTGGAGTGGTGGAACATGCCTATAATCCCAGCTACTCAGGAGCCTGAGGGAAGATCAGATCAAGGCCAGCCTGGGCAATTTAGTGAGACCCTGTCTCAAGTAAAAAAATAAAAACGGCTGGAGATGTAGTTCGATGTGAAGGCCTTGAGTTCAATCCAAGTACTCAAAAAAGGATAAAATCAGGGGTAGCAGATCATATGGATAATAAATCCTATAAATCCTGTGAGTATGAAATAGAAAGATCTCAGAGATGTTGCCTCTGACTTTCCAAAGAGTATATTAAGACTTCTGAAGCTAAAGCTAATAAACTGAGAACTAATCTGCAGCATATGTGACAGGTATAAAGTACCCTACAGAGGAAGACAATGTGATAGAAAGTTGTATAATAAAAGACCAGCTAAGCATGACAGAATGTCCAACTTCACTAGGAGTTTGTTTGTTTGTTTGGTACTGGGTATCAAACTCCAGACCTTGCCCTTTCGAGACAGTTGGCAGTACCACTGAGCTAAATCCCCCGCCCCTCACTAGGAGTTTGGAACTTGGATATCGAGACCAGCCTGGGCTACATAATGAGTTACAGGTCAGTCTCAACTGCATAGTGAGACCCTGTCTCAAAAAACCAAAAAATGGCCCTACATACCCTTTTTTGCCCATGTTCTAGGACAAAGTCAAACAGGTTTACAATCTGTGACGTAGGCAAGAATGTGGAAAAAAAGGCATTTCTATCTGACATTGATGGATATGTAAATTTATACAACCTTTCTAGGAGAAATTTGTCAATATTTATTTATTTATTTTGGTGCCGGGGATTGAACTCTGGTCTTTGCGCTTGCAAGGCAGGCCTCCAAATCCCTGAGCTAAATCCCCGGCTGTCAATACTTATTGAAATTTAAAATCTTCATGTCTTTTGTCCCAACAGTTCTAGGGAATTTGAATTACAGAATTGTTATATGTAAACACAATATATGAGTGTAGAGTGTTCACTGAATAAAATACTATCTATAGATACAGAGATGCTTATGCAAAACATAACAAAATTTATGAGTAACCCAAATGTTCATTAATGAAGTAGGTACACAAATTTTGGTATGTATGCACTATGGAACACTCTGAAGCCATTATAAAAAATGAGCCACAACTAGGCATATGAGTAGCAGGGAAAGATGAGTCTGAGGTATTAAGTTTTAAAAGTAAGTTGTAAAGCACAAGGTTGGCCCCACTTTAAGGGGTTAAAGATGTATGTAATATACACACAAACACATAGTAGAAAAATGGACTTTAGTTGGGCATGGTGGTACACACCTATAATTGCAGTATACTCTGGAAGGCTGAGACATGAGACTTTTTGTTTTGTTTTGTTTTTTTGGGGGGTGGGTGCTGGGGATTGAACTCAGGTCCTTGCACTTGCGAGGCAGGCAGTGGAACCACTGAGCTAAATCCCTGGCCCAACACATGAGAATCTTGATTTTTGAGCCCAGCCTGGGCAACTTAGTGAATTAGCAAGACCTTATCTTAAAATTTAAAAAGGACCAGGGATGTAGCTCAGTGTGAAGCCCTGGGTTCCATTCCCAGTGTTGGGGGAAAAATTAAAAAGGCTTAGGAAGATATGCTTAAAATGGAGTTGAAAAGGCTGCTGGGAAGGTCTTTTCACTTTTCATTCCATAATTTTTAGCCCACTTTAAATTTTTAAATAAAATAATTAGCATTAAAAATAATTAGCATGAATTTGAGAAATGAGAAAATGACAAAGCAGTATGTAGTAAGCTGGACTTTCTCAAGCATTCACACTGGCAGGTAGAGAATATAAAGCATTTGAACTTTTTTTTCTTTCCAGCAAAGTTTGTATAATTTGGCCGGGGATTTAGCTCAGCAGTTCTCCTGCCTGCCTTGCAAGGACCGGAGTTCGATCCCCGGTACCAAAAAAAAAAAAAAAGTTTATATAATTTGTCCTCATAGGAAAGATCTAGAAAGTGGCATAGGGCAGATATAATGGGTCCCAGCTTACTCCATACCTCATTGAGTGATTTTTGTACCCAGACCCTCTGTTTCCAAAGCCTCATTTTTTCTAAGTTGCTTTCTGTATTGGGAAAAGCACCTTATTACAAGGCAGTTCTTCAACCATTGTGCTGTGGTTCCCTGGAAAGGTAATGGGCTCAGGGTAGAACATCTAGACGTTTTGAGACTGTGGGTAGGAATAGCTGCTGCCCTGTGCTCTTTCCTGGTGGCCTCAATTGGCCTGTAGTGCTTGCTTGCATCCCTGCTATTACCAAGAGAAGAATAATTCTTGAAAGCTCACATTTGGTTGAGAAACCTGTTCTGTGAACCAAAAGGAATGTAAGTAATGCAACTCTTAACCTGTATCTTCAAGTGAATAGTAGTGGGTTTTTCTAAACTTTACTTGGCCCCATGAGAAAAGATACGAACAATGTTAATGATTTCCGTTTGGCAAGTGATACTCTTTAATACAGATATTTGGTGCATTTGGTATTGGAACATCAGTTTCTGAAATGTTTACAGTTAGTGTTCTGTGGGTGCTTATTACCTGATAACCTTAGTGTATTTTGGTCTAAAAAGAGAAAGGTAGTGGATGGGGATGTAGGTCAGTCGTAGAGCTTTTGCCTAGTATGTATGAGGCCTGGGTTTATTCTCTGACTCTTATCTAATCCAGGTTCCCCTCTGATCTTCAGCTGAAATCCCTGCCTTCTAGGGAAGACAGTAATTTTTGTAGTTTTAAGGGACAAGTTGCTACTTGCTAATCTGGATCCAAGCCAGGGAGAAGAACTAAGTGTAAGAACTAAGTAATCACCCTCACATGCCCAGTCTGCCAGTTCCTACAAGGGTTCTACACTGTGGTGCCTTCTTCCCATCCTTCCCTCTGCCCTGTGCTGACTCCAGGGCATCCTTTTGCTGCTTCTGAATTAGGGCAGGGCCAGAGCAACTGTCCATTTACAGGCACAGAGAGAGAGAGAGAGAGAGAGAGAGAGAGACACACACACACACACACACACACACACACACAGTAGGGCTAGGAGATTCTTTAGAAGTGTTGTCCCAGAATACCACACAATGAAAATTTACCCTGTGACATGAAGATAAAGTGAATTCCATATTCTTTTGTCCTTTTGTTCATTCATTCAGTGACTATTTTGTGGACCCTGCTGTGTGTCAGGCCCAGTGCCCAGCACAGGATGTAAGTCTGTAAGAGGAGCTAGGGCAGCAGCTGGCATGGAGAGTTCCCATTATGTGACTGCTGATGAATCTATAGCACCAAGAGAGGATGTGTCAGAGATGACCTAAGGCCACTACGGGATCGATCAAGGCAATATGTAAGGTCTTTTTTAATATAGGAATGCTGAAAATAAGGGCAAAAATCTGCCTGACTTCCAAAGCTGTACTAGAATATACCTTTTATGGTAAAATTTGCCCATCTGAATCCTCTTAAGTTCTTAAAATATCGGAAAGAACCATATAACAAATGAAGTGGAAATTTCTCTCTTAAGGCATCAACAAATATGTGAACTGTCTGTTCCTCTGCTCTCTTTCCCCATCTGGGTTCTCACTCCAGTTTTTAGCATCAGCTTCATTGTTTTTTCTTTGGAACATTGATTTCTGATAGAAAAAAAAAGGTCTCCATTACTGAGGAAAAGACTAAACAATGAAAATGTACTGCCTGAATCTCCTCCTTTGGCCCTTGAAATTGGTTTCTGCTGGTGGATTTAGAAGGATAGATTCAGCTGTTTCTTAATTTCTATTTAAGTGTTTGGTAAATAGGCTGGAACTGTAATTATTTATACTTAGAAAGTAACATTCTTACATCCAGGATCTAAGTTTCAGCCACCTTCAAAAATGATTATAAAATGCTATTGAAAAACAATCTTTTTCATGTTCCAGAGGAGTGTTGTGAATGACTTGGGTGTAGTGACTTTTCTGTTAAATTTTTACTTATTAAAATGGTAATTCCTAAATCAGGTTTGGTAGTACTCACTATAATCCCAGCACTCAGGAGGCTGAGACAGGAGGATCAGCATGAGTTTGAGGCAAGCTTGGGCTACACAGCAAGATCCTGTCTCAAAAATAAACAAATAAATAAAATTGTAATTGCTTGAAGTTTGCATTGTATATGAGAGTGGGTAGGTTGTGAAGTTCACACCTTTGTCACAGAAACACTGGGCCAAATGAAAATGTCAGAGAAGCCATGAGCATGCTCTGACCACCTAGTCTCCCCTAGCCATGTGTGGATGCTGCTCTGGAGGTGAGTTGGTAGATGGAGGTATGTCAAGGTCAAATGGCTGATTTTGAAAATCAGCTGTAGTTGGGAGTTTCCTACCCTTGTATTGCCATGGCCTCCAGGAACATTTTAATACAAATAGGAAGTTGGTTGTGTAATGAATCTGAGAGATGGAGTTTTTAAAATTCTTAATATATCTGAGTAAGTGCTGTTCTCAGCAAAGTGGTCACCTTGGGAGGTCATGCCCTTATTCCACGGGAAGGGGAGTTCTTTCTCAGATTCTTACCTAAAGCAGTGTTTGTCCCTCACTTGATTCCTCACCCCCTAACCAGAGTACATCCCAACTCCATCCTCAAAAGATTTTTCACCATGGAGATACTGTTTTAAAATGGAAACACCTGAAGGTAAAGACAAGTTATAGCACTGAACACCACAACTATTTAAAAAAAAATGTATTCCTACCCAAGTTGACCTAGTTGAGAAATATAATGTCCAGTTAAAGAGTACACATCCTGATATGTTAGTGGTGCCTTAAGGAAGTCATTTTCCTGAAGTCCCCCATCATAGACAAAAATTGGCAGAGCCTCCCAAAAGGACCACATTCAGTAATATTAAAGGGAAGAAAAAACTGCTCTTGTTTACTTACATTGACCCCAGTCTTTGACCCCATGTGTGTACTTTGCCCATCTGCATATCCTGCAGTGTGCTCTCAGGAGTTGGAATGCTCTCTGGGACTTTTCTAACACTTTGCTTTTCTTTCTTTAGGTATTTCTGGGAAAAGTCAGCTTCTCTTTGCACTGGTCTTCACAACTCGTTACCTGGATCTTTTTACTTCATTTATTTCATTATATAATACATCTATGAAGGTATGGTATGGCATCCAATAGAATATATTTTATCTATGATGCACAGATCTGTGGAAACTTAGTTTATGTCAGCTTTGTGTTTTTTAATTAAAAATCTCTAATGATAGTACCTAAATGTGCCGTTCTTACAAACTTTTAGACCACCTTGTATGTGTGACTAGGAACAGTATCATTAGGCACACTTTTTCTGCTTCAAACAGTAACTATTTAATTAAAGTAGTCTGAACTTAGAGGTTTTTAAGTTAAATTTTAAGTATGATTGCTTCAAACAGTAACTATTTAATTAAAGTAGTCTGAACTTAGAGGTTTTTAAGTTAAATTTCTTAAGTATGATGACTCTCTTGAAGCTCTTGATAACCGTATAAAAGAGGGATAGCTATTAGATTTCCAAGTGGTGGGAAATTACAGACTTCCCAGAGAAATCCAGTAAGTCAGTCCATAATGAGAAATTAGGGCCGGGACTTCTGGCTGCAATTTCTTACTTTCTGTGTGAGGCACTGAATGTAGGCTTCTTTCTTTTTTTTCCACTTCATTTTTCTTAAACTTCTGCCGTGTGTGTCATCATAATAATATATTTTAACTTGTCCTAAGCATTGATATCCATGCTACCTTTGTTGTCTGTATTTCTCCTGACATTAAAGCAAATGCCTATTAAAATACAAAAATGTTTATATAGTAGCTACCTTTTGTACACCACCAGGGGTACATGCTTCACACTTTGGGAGGCACTGGACCAAGTGAGCTTCCGTCCCTTCCCATAGTTGTTAAACTCATATGAACTTCTGCAGAGCTGGGCACTACAGAATATGGGGCAGAAAACAAGCAAAGTCTCAGTCAGGGTGGGGAGTGGACAAATTATCACAGCACTATATGAAGAACTGTAAGTTGAGCTAGGTGCTGTGGGCGAAAGAGTCTCAGGATATGCAATAGGAGTCTGACTTTTTCACTCTACACATTCTAAGGACCTGGTGCCAGGCTTAGGTACTTGGTTATGGGAAGTAACATTTAAACTAAAGCCTATTGGTGTGGTATTTAAACAGTTGTCCCTCTCCTCCCTCAACACTGCATTCAAAAGCACTGTCAAAACACAGATTAAAGTAGAGGAAGCAATATTTGAGTCTGTGGTCTTTACTCAAAAGCAAACTTGATTACCTACAATCATTCCATTCTTTAATACTTAATGATGGGACCTAGTAATCAGGAACTGATTAGCTGTATTAAAATGGCTAGGTGCAATGTCTGCTGTCTAGGCAAGTTAAACTCCAGGCATTTGAGGTATGCAAGCTAGAATTCCCTTCCTTCTGTCCTGTCAGGAATCCCAGCTCTTGGAGTTTGTCTTCTTGCTTGCTTGGATGTAGTTTTTAAGTGTCGTGTCCTGAAGGTTAGCAGAGTGAGAGCCAAGTTATATATGCCTACTTCTTTTTGTTTTTACTGCCAAGTGCTATGGGGAGATGAGCAGCTGTCCTTCCCCAGCCTTAGTAGACTGAACCCCGCTAGATATAGGCTGGGCCTAGAGAGAAGCCCTCTAGCTGCCATAAGCTTCAGCTGGTCCCAGCGGGGTATAGTGCTGATATACATATATGTGTTCTTCGATTATGCATGTGTGATTATAACCAACAGTTTTAATACCATGTTAACTGTTTATTTGCAGATATAACTGCATAATGAAATGCCAGGTACTATTTAGTGTCTTTGTGGGTTTTTTAGAACACATGAGGGTTTGATGATTGCTCTCATTTTCCACTGAAGTTGTTTGCCCCAAGTATTTTCCTAATTAAGTCTCTCAAGTTGTATTTCCTAAGGAGAAATATTATCAGGCTGTGTGGTCCCTAGCCCAGTTGTCTCTTCATGATTGAAATCTGCTATTTGATTCTTAAGACTAAATTTTTGCAATTTAACAATTGATATAATTTCACAATCTCAGGGTTTTCTTGGGGTCAGGTAATGAGATCATGTTTGATCTTTGGGGTGGGGGTTGGTTTTTTGAGACAAGGACCTCACCGTGTAGTTCAGGCTGCCCTTGAACTCTGTGTAACCCAGGCTGGCCTTGAACTCCTAGCAATCCTTCTGACTCAGCCTCCTGAGTGCTGGGATTATAGGGGTACACCACCACACCCAGCTTGACCTTTTGAAGATGAAAGAACACAAACCTTAATTATGAACCCTTGAGTGGCTGTACTGCTGTGTATTCCAAATTGCTCCCTTGCGGGGAGCAAGAGTTTACAAATTATTGCTAACTTTAGGCTTTGCTTTGGTTATGTTACGAGATAAAATTTCATAACAACAATCTGAATGCTCAGTGTTAAACTAATACAATTTAAGTAAAAACAATCATGTAGATTTTAACATGAATTACATTGTTTATTTTACCTACATAAATATGCCATCATGCTAGAAGTCCATTGGGTTTGAATTGCAATGAATATATGTTCTTTTCTTTTCTTTTCTTTTTTTTCTTAAACTAGCATACAATAGTTTAAAATGAGATTAAAAGTATATTTCTTTGGCAGTTTCCTACAAAGTTAAAATCAACATTTAGGGTGGGGATTTAGCTCAGTGGTTCCGCCACCCGCCTTGCAAGTGCAAGGTCACAAGTTCCATCCCCAGTACCAAAAAATAAAATCAACACTTGACCCAGTAAACCCACTCCTACGTGTAAACCCAAGAAAAATGACAACTTAAATTTATATAAAAGTTTATGAACAGCTTTATCCACCATCCCCACAAACTGGGGACAATCCACCAGGCCTCTATCTGGAGTGCAAGTAAATAAACTGTGGTTCAGTTCAATGAAAACGGACCAAGTATTAATGCATATTCTATGGGTTGTCCCTCAAATACATTATGCTGACTGAAAGGCAGAAGTAACATGCTGTATGCCTTCATTTATGTGACATTCTAGAAAGAGCAAAATGGGCCAGAACACACCAGTGATGATCAGAGGTGAAGGCTGGGGAGGCTTGGCTACCAAGAAGCAGTGTAGTAGAATTTTAGGTGTGTTGGAGCTACTCTGTGTCCTAACTGTGTTGGTGGTTACATGACATAGAACCATAATACCAAAGTGAATTCTACTGTGCTTAAACTTAAAAAAAAAAAAAAAAAGAAGGATATATAGGTGATATAGAAAACAGGGAGTTGAAACAATTGCAATACTCTGACAACCTGATATTTTTCTTTTGTTTTCAGCTTATCTACATTGCCTGCTCCTATGCCACAGTGTATCTGATCTACATGAAATTTAAGGCAACCTATGATGGAAATCATGATACCTTCCGAGTAGAGTTTCTGGTGGTCCCTGTGGGAGGCCTCTCATTTCTAGTCAATCACGATTTCTCTCCTCTTGAGGTTAGTTAAGAGGCTATTTAGTGGTCATGTTTGGTCCCCTAGGTTAAGAGACCTTTTTGCAGATAATGTAGATTTTTGTGGGGTTTTTTGTTTTTGTTTTCCAGTTTGGCAAACTTCTGATACAACATGCACTATTTGGTGTAAATAAATCATAGATAGGAACTATAGATAGCACTCAAGTATTAGGGTGTCTGCTGACAGCTTTATCCTGATGCCCCTTGAGAACATAGAGTCAAAATAGTATTTCATTATCTTAACTTCTGTGCACCAAACCCAGAGCCCTCCCTGGTGTGGTGTTTGAAGAACATGGTCCTCCTCCCTGTTCTAGCCAATCTTTGCTTCCTCTCTGTGTATAGCTGCTGCACATTGATACTGTGTCTGCACATTTTCTAAGCAGCATTGCTATACTTCTCACCCTTTAGAACAGTGGTTTGTAGTGTCCCTGGCATCATACATCATAAGTGGCTTTTTTTATCCCTGGTAAAGAGGTGCTGCTTAGCTTATGGGGTTATTAAGTTACTGCATTATTCTTGGTTGTCTGTAAGAAGTGCCTCACTATTTCCAAGTCAGTCCTAAGGATGAATAACGTGCCATGCTGGGCAGAGTTTGCCTAATTACAGCTCTGATTTCTGACCCCTTTGTGTTGTTGTTGTTCTTTTGGGTTTTTGGGGTACCGGGAATTGAACTCGGGACCTTGCGCTTCCCAGGCAGGTGTGGCGACAATGAGCCACATCTCCAGCCCCTCTGACCCCAGAAGCCTAAAGAATAAGAAAAATGCAGATGATTTTTTGACTTAGGATGAAGTTACATCTTGATAAATTCCTTGTAAGTTGAAAATATTGTAAGTTTAAAAAGTGTTTAACGCACCTAATCTACCAAATATCCCAGTTTAGCAACACAGTAATTGTGGAATATTGTTTGTTTGCCTCAGGATGGCCTGGCTGACTAGGCTCTGGGGGTTGCTGCTCTGCCCAGCATCTCAAGAGTAGTGTAGTGCATGTCACTTGCCTAGGAAAAGATCACAATTGGAAGTTTGGAGGCTACCAATGTAGATCAGTGGTATAGGGCTTGTGTAGCATGCGTAAGGCCCCAGATTCAATCCCTGGTACTGCCTGATAGACAGGATGGATGAATGATTTCTACTGAATGTGCACTGCTTTTGCACCATGGTAAAGTGAAAAATCTTAAGTCTGAACCATCATAAGTCAAAGACCCAGGTGTAGTGGGAAAAAAAATTGTTTTTGTTTTTTTGGTACCAGGAATCAAACTCGGGATCTTGTGCTTGCCAGGCAGGCGTTGGAACCACTGAGCTAATCCCTATCCTTGTAGTGAAAAATTTAGCCTAGGAATATATCAGGACAATCAGCAGTGAGGACGTGGAAGGAACTTAGTTATAAGTATCATTAATTCTGGCAGAAAAGCAGGGTTGATTCAAGGCTATAGATTCAAAGTGGGATAAGCTTGTCCAGGAGGAACATCACATATTGGATATTGACAGAAAATCATACTGGTCATGTTTGGTATATACCTATAATTCCAGCTACTCAAGAGCCTGAGGCAGGAAGAGATAGCAAGTATGTTTTGTTTTTGTTTTATTTTTGAGTCAAAGTCTTGCTATATAGTTCAGGCTATCTTGAACTTTCTAAGTAGCACAGGCTGGCCTCAAACTTGGAGCCATTCTTCTGCCTCAGCCTCCTGAGTGCTGCAATTACAGGTGTGTGCCACTACGCTTGCCTAATTTGAGCACAGCCCAGCAACTTAACGAGGCCCTGTCTCAAAACAAAAAGGGGTTGGGAATGTAGCTCAGTGCAATCCCAAGCACCTCAAAAAATAAATTAATTAAAAGGGCTGGGGATATAGCTCAGTACTCCCTGGGCTTAGTTGCCAGTAAATGGAATGAAAGAGAGAAGGAAAAGGAAAACTATATGGGGGAAAAAAAGTGTTAGACGAGGTAATGCAAATACTTCCACACCTGTTAACGCTGTTTGCAGTGAAGTGAGTATATTTCTCTCGAACTCACAGTGGGCACTGGATCCTGATGAGAGTATGCCATTTCTCTTCCAGATTTTATGGACCTTCTCTATCTACCTTGAGTCAGTGGCCATCCTTCCACAGCTCTTCATGATCAGCAAGACTGGGGAGGCTGAGACCATCACAACCCACTACCTGTTCTTCTTGGGTCTCTACCGTGCTTTGTATCTTGTCAATTGGATCTGGCGCTTCTACTTCGAGGGCTTCTTCGACCTCATTGCTGTGGTGGCCGGCGTGGTCCAGACCATCCTGTACTGCGACTTCTTCTACTTGTATATTACAAAAGGTACATCAGGGCCAGCCTGCCTGGTTCCTATAGTCATGGGCTCTGTGAGGAGCCAGCTTGCCCAGCTCCTGAGCCCAACACCCTTCTTGCTTGACATGGTCCCTCAGAACAGAACTGGCTTTAGAAAAATAACTTTATGGTTGTCAAATAAAATTCCGTATCAGGATTTTCAGTCTTTTTTCATATAAAGACTTTTTATTTTTCTAAAATTGTACATTTCATTGTATAGGTTTAATCAGATCTAGTTATTTCAGTGAGTCATCTGAGATCCTATCACTCAGAGATAACCACTGTTCATGTATCAGTAAACACAATACCAGATATCTCTATGTGAATACAGGTACATGATTTAAACTATACATGCTTTTCTATAATCTCAGTTTTTCATGTAAGTAAATAGAAATTAGCTGAACCTTGGTGGCACATGCCTGTAATCTCAGCACTCTGGGAGACTGAAGCAGGCAGATTGCAAGTTGAGTCCCAGCCTAGGCAACTTAGCAATTTAGCAAGACACTGTTCAAAATAAAAAATAAAAAAAAGGGTTAGTTATGTAACTCAGTAGGAAGGCCCTAGGTTCAATCCTCTGTGTGTGTGTGTGTGTGTGTGTGTGTGTGTGTGTGTTAAAAGCCATAGGGTCTTTTTTTTTTTGGTACCGGGGATTGAACTCGCGAACCGCTGAGCTAAATCCCCGGCCCCATAGGGTCATTTATTATGTATTGTGCATACTATCATTTGTTTATCCAGCTGTTTGTAGGTATTCAGGCTTATTGAATTGGTGCGATAAAAATCCAGTGCTTACCTGGCATGATGGCACACGGCTGTGGTACAAGGATCACTGCCTAGTTTGAGACCAGCCTGAACAACATAGCAAGACCCTGTCTCAAAAAACTAAAAACATAAGTAAAATTCAGTGTTTAAATCAACATCCATATGTGTGTGTTTCTATATGTTTATATTTGTATAAATATTGACATCTGGACTTTACAAATATCCAATGAAAACTAGTCCTTGCTAAGAAAAAGTGCAAATATGTACCGTCCAAACAAATTCATGTGTACAAGTATAGAGAATTCAGAAGTGCCTGAAGGCTAACTAAAGAGCCCAGGTTACAAAGGTCTGGTGTGCAGTTATATTCCTAATGCTGGATTTGCTTGGTGAAGGGTAAATATATCTTGTATGTTTTTTAATATCCAAGATATTCCTCCATAAGTCATATTTAATACATATTGGTTAGGGAGAAATTACAACTGAAGGTGCTTTGAAATTGGTGGTGTTTTTAATTTTTTTATTTTTCTTTTTGGTGGTGCTGGGGATTGAACCTACGGCCTTTGCACTGAGCTACATCATTAACCCTTTTATGTTTTTGAGACAGGCTCTCACTAATTTGCCCAGACTAAACATAAAATTGTGATCCACTTGCCTTAGCCTCTCAGGCAGTGATGGGATTACAGGTATCACCATACCCAGTATCAGATTTGTAGTTTTTAAATGCAATGACTTACTCATACTAAGTATAATCTTGGGTATGGTGGAGTTCTGCGAATAGAGAGAATGAAGCTGTATGCTTGTTTATATTAGTAATCTTTTGTTTCTTTTCTTCTCTTTAAAATTCTAGTGCTCAAGGGAAAGAAGCTCAGTTTGCCAGCGTAAGTGCCAAAGACCATCAGTAGCCTCTGTCCTTCAGGGTGCTTGGACAGAATTCTTACCACAGCAAAGGCGTGAGATGCTTGATGCGGGAAATCAGAAACTTAACTCTTTTGTTGCAGATCGTCATCAGTGGCTCTATAAGAACACAAGAGGAAAAGAACCACAAGGTTTCTGTTTAATGCATCTTGCCTTATCTTTTTTTATTACTATGTACAAAGATTTTTTTACACAAAGAAACTTAATGCTGTATTAATAAATTCAGTGTGTAGCTTAATTGGATAGTTTCAAAAGTGACAATTTTGTGAGGAATAAGTGCAAGCTTTTATTTTAAAAATTCTTTGAAATTGTTGATTGGTTGTGTCTGCAATGAAATATTGTACTCTTTGACAGTTGGTAGATTATATATTCTAACGTCTATCAAACTTGCATTCCACTATATTTATTTTTTGCCAAAATATGAGTTAATATTTGTTTGAAATCTGAGACACTATGTTCAGTGTTTTTATCTATCCAAATTCCCACCTGCCGTGGAAATCCTTGGACCTCACAACACTACATTTAAGGTTAGTGAAGATGACTTGTAAATCTTATGGTTTTCATTACCAAAATTTTAAGGTTCTGAGTGTAGATGGGGTGTCAGCTAAGTCACCCAAGGTGCCTGCCCTCTTTCCCCTGCTGAGAAGGGTCAACTTGAGACTCCCAAGGATGCTGAAGAATTCCTGGGCAGGAGTTTTGGGTTGCTTGCCATGTGAGTGTTTGATAGGAGGGACTGTAATGATTATTTTGGATAGAAGATCACTCCTCTGAGGAATGGAACACATAATTATCTGTGACTTTCATTTGCAATTTCAAAAGATGAACTATAACCATGTCCATGCTTAGATTCACACAGTTTTCTCTATCACTTTTGGTTGGTAAAATGATTTACAATTTTTTTAATTGGCAGCATCAATTACCATTCCTTATATTCTTTTTTTTTTACTGAGTTCTTGCATGATTTATCTTGTGTTACCATCCTAAATAAACATTTTATTAAATGGAATAAATTGTCTTTTTTTTAAATTAGGCTTCTGAACATCCTATGTTGGGATAATTTTTGTTTTGTTTTTCATTTGGCAACAAAAGCTCTATAGGGCTGCAGACATTTAAAGTCCACTTAATCTAAAACTTTGTTGTATGGAAATTAACTAGTTTTCCTTCTGATTTTGCCATTATATTGATTTGCTACATTTTTTGACTTATGCAAAAGTATATGACTTTGTTTTTATTTAGTTCAGTGCAAACATGAAAGTATTTAATACTAACAATGCTTACTAGGAGGATGTAGTATTTGTTTCATTTTCTCCATTAAAATGTCTTGTGGAGGAAGGGAGCTGGATAAGCTACATTTTTATTTAGTGTGGTTCTTAAGTTGGCATTACAGCTACGAAATTTAACCTGTTATTGCCCTCATTTTATTTTTCTCCTCTTGCTTCATGTTTTTGCTTTGTGTATCAGAATACTTTTCAGTCAGCATACTAGGCTTAGCTTAGTTTCTTTGGCTTGTTTTCATCCTCCTTGGATAATACTGGGAGTGTGGAGGAAGGATGGGGAAATCAGTTGCAGTAACTCAAGTAGAAAAGTACAGCAGGTTGCCTGCTGCCCAGACTCGGGGTGTGGGGAGGGCTCATACCTGCCTTTCCTCATGTAAATCAGACACAAGCTGGGGTCCCTCACTGCAGAGCACAATGCACAGAACAAGATCTGGAACCTCAGCATGTCAGAGCCTTCTGTAGTCATTCTATTCGAGTAAGAATAAAATTGGCCAAGATGTTAATCACCATTTTGTGGTCAGCTAGGATGACATGTTGCTAAGAATTCCTGACTTGGAGTTGGGACTGGGCAGTGTCCTCGGCATAAAAGGCCTTGCCTTGTGTGACACATCTTATGAAGCACTGTTTCATGGTTATTTTCACTTCCTAAATAAAGGTTATCAGGTAATCAATATTTTCATTAAGGTGTTTTTGTGTGTCTAAGTTTGTGTGTGTGCATCTTGTATGGTGCTGGACATTGAAGCCAAGGTCTTGTGTATGCTAGGCATGTATCTGTACAGTGTACCCCAAGCCTCTGTATGAATTTCTAAAACTATAATTATTAAAGCTGGGCACTGTAGGAGGCTGATACAGGAGGATCATTAACTTTGAGCACAGCCTGTGCAACTCCGCAATTTAGTGATAACCCTGTTGCAAGAAAAAGGCTGGGTCTATAGCTCAGTGAGATGGTCCAGGGTTCAAACCCAATATCAAAAAAAAAAAAAAAAAAAGTAATAGAAATAAAGCAAAGTCCACGAATCTGCCCTGCAACAACTGAAAGCTGCTGGCCCTTTGCTGCTTACAGACACTGATCCATTCCTATCCGGTTTAGTCATGGTATGTGAATCAAGTTTCCTGCTGCCTCACTAGTCAAGAGGAATAGACAGAAAAAGTTGTTTTTTGGTACTGGGGATTGAACTCAGGACCCTGCACTAAATCTCTGGCCCGAGAAAAACTTTTGATAGAAATCAGAGTGCTCTATGATAGGAACCTGAAGAAAAGTGTACAAGCTTTGGGCTCAGAGTTGTGCTGACTCTTGATCACTGCACTTGCAGCAGCCTGGCATTGGATATATGTGCTTTATATCCCTCAGTGACACAAAGAGACTCCGACTGCAGGTATTTATGAGCCTTAAGCTTGACAGCCCCAGAGCTCAGCACACATTAATCACCAACACCCACTTTCCTTTCTGAATGTGTTTGCACACTTGTGTGTACCACTGAGGCCTCCACCCTGTTCTAGACAAGCTGCCTGGAAAGCTGGCAGTGAATTGATATTGACAGGAGCCTTTCCTCAGAGATTTGATGAATGAATGGTGATGGATTGGGGATCCTCTTGGGTTTTTACTTTGTGCTTTTTCCCTCTAGTGGCCAGCTGTGGAATTTTTGTGGAACCCAAGTTCCACCTAGGATGCCCTGTCTGGGTTTTAACCATGTGTGGAATCTTATGGATGCTCTGTATGTATTTCTCCTCCAGGTCTAAAATAATTCCTGCTTTTTAATCTTCAATTTAAAAGACAAGTTGCAGCATAACATAGCATTAGCCCTTTTAAACAATGACACAAAAATAATTGTTTTGTTTTTTGAGACGGGGTCTCACTATGTAGTTGAGACTGACCTGGAACTCACTATGTAACCCAAGCTGGTCTCGAACTCACAGCAATCCCCTGGCTTAAGCCTCCTGAGTGCTGGGATTACAGACATGCACTACCACACCTGGCTGAAAAATACTTCTTCACAGTACTAAAATATAACACTCCAAATCTTCTGTCTTGCTTTCACCTAGTTTACTTGGGTGTGAGTCTTTAGACAGATACCTCACTACACTTTAATCTACTACCAAAATACAATGAAAATATAAAACATTTTCTGCCAGACATTGTGCCACATTCCTGTGGTTTCAGCACTTAGGAGACTGAGGCAGGAGGATTGTGAATTTGAGGTCAGCCTGGACTATATAGTGAGACCTGTCTCAGAAAAGAACAAACTGAAAAACAAAACCACCTTTTTTTTAATCATGTAACAATGAGTCTGTAATAAGGAAACTGGTATGTCCTGAAATTTAAAAAGTAATTTATTTACTTCAGGGTCTGAGAACTGTAGATCTCAGGACTTTTAAAAATTATCCAGATTTCTGAACAAGAACCAGCGTGGTGGTACATTTGGGAGGCTGAGGCAGGAGGATTGTTTTGAGGTCGCCAGCCTAAGCAATCACCTGGCAAAAACTGCTCCCACTCAGTACAGGCAACAAAGGCAAATATTAAATCAAGGATATTAACTTTACCTACAGTGTAAGAGATTTACTCAGATCATAGAAAATCAAGTTCTAAATGGAAAAATAGAGGAAAGTATGAATCTAATTGTAAAATGGAAGATAGATAATCAGCTTCTCAAAGTTAATATGGAGATAGGATGAAATACCAAGAAAATCTGAAAAATACTTACTATAATTTGCAGGTAATGATGTTAACCTAAAAAACAAGCAAAGGTCATCAAAGAGCTCATATTTTACCAAAATTCATGATGAAGCAAATGTGATAGGACATTATCTGTTGTCAAATCTGCATGATGGCTCCTTAGGTGTCAGCTAACTCCTCTGTATATGAAATATTTCCATCAATTAACAAAAGTTATGATGAATCATTTACCTTCTTAAGAGCTATATGTACCTTGATCTCAGTTCATTTTGGAAATCATTTTTTAAAATATTCTAACAGCTAATTTAAAATATTTTAATAACTTAAGGGAATGAGTATGCTTTAGTGTATAATACTCACATGATGGAAAAATACACTTTTAAAATAGGCCAAATGCAATCAATGGAATAATGTTGTGTGGAAATGGCAGAATACAGTGTCAGTGATTACAACTACACAAATGTCTTTTTTTTTTTTTTTTTTACACAAAGTCTTTTTAATTTTATTATTTTGGTTGAGACAGGGTGGCTTGCAAGGATCCTCTTGCCTCAGTCTCCCAAGTACTGAGATTACAGGTGTGCACTACCACACCTGACTCTTTACCTTTAATTCACTGTTAATTTAATAGCCACTTAATACATGAGGAAACATGCTTAATACAAAGTACCTTTCCGAAATTACACAGAATTTCAAAATCTTACTGGTATTTCAAGTACCGGCTTAAGTCTCACCCACAGCCAGATATGTTAGGTTGTCCATCAGATAATTATCTGGCTTCTCATCATCCAGCCCAAGCTTGACAAACTTGGCAGAAACCCAGCTGTGTGTGTATATACATGTGCACACTGTACTGGTGATTGAACTCAGGGAGTGCTAAGCTACATCCCCAGCCCTTTTTATTTGTAAACAGGGTCTCAAGTTGCTCAGGCTGGCCTTGAACTTTAGGTCCTCCTGGCTCAGCCTCCCAAGTAGCTGTGGTTATGGGTGTACACCCATAATGGACCATGTCTGGCCAGAAGTCCAGTTAATACTCTGTCTCATTCATAGACATTAGACGATCAGAACATATTGGAAGATCAGGACTGGCCAGAATGCTACATGGTAACTCACTGATGACAGGACATTTGGAGGAGCTTATGGGTAGAAGGGCTCTGATTTTGAAAAGGAAGTGAAGGGCTGCTTGCCAAAGACGTGCTGAAGTTGGGTGCAAATCAAGTTTAGTTTTAAGAATGTACTTCTGTGTTTGCAGAAAAACACCCAAGACACCTCATCCCTGGAGGTGTCCTCCATTTCCAGACTTTGCAACACATCTAATGAAATACTCTTGCCAAAAAATACAAAACAGGCCTTGCAATCTTTACATTCATTTCCTGAGCTGCTCTGGGATGTCCCTCTTTTCTCCATCCCAGACCCTGCCAGTGCACCGTGTAACTTACATCCAACCCTTTGCCTCTGTCCCTCCACCTACTTTTGACATTTAATAGTTATTCATCAAGTGTTGAGTGAGCGCCAATATATGCAGTATTACATGCACTGCAGCAAACAAGTGGACAAGGTGTCTATGCTTATGCAATTTACAGCTCATCTAACTTACACATGTAGTGATTAAATGAATTACAGAAAACTAAAGCCATGTAAGGGATAGGACCTGGCTGTGCGTTTTCTGTTAGGTGGTGGGGGAAAGCCTCTCAGACAGAGATACAAACTAAGGCCTGAAAGAAGAAAGAAATACCCAGGGGTACGGTCCTTGGAAGAGGAGATGAGTGTAAAAGGCCTGGGTTGAAAATGAGCTTGTATTGGGGAAGGGGACAGCAGGCACTGGAGTGGAGGGCGAGTAGTGACTAACCTGGGGAGACAAACACGCAAATAAGAGCTTCTAACGTGACTGTCAGGGAAAGGCTTCTCAGATGGGCTGGAAGATCATCCTTGCAAGATCCTTGGCAAGGTGGAGAACAATTCAGGCAAAAAGTGAAAGTGGATCAGACCAGGGCGGGTAAGGTGGAGGTGCAGAGAAGTAGTCGGACCCTACCTGGTTAAGGGTGGGTGCAGTTTCAGACCCCTAACTTGACGATCCCAACGCGAGAATAGTACAGAAGAGACTACAGACTGCGCCCAGGAACGTTATACCACGCTTGGAAGTCTCAGTAACCCATGTCTCAGTCCCACCATTAGTAGCTGGGATTCTCTGGGATAGCACTCCTTCTGGGATTTTAGAATGAAAATATTCAATAAAATATCTATAAAATGGAAATATTATCAGGGACGAGGTCACAGAGCCACCGACAATAAACAAAGTCGGCCACAGGTATCCTGGAGCGGCCTGTTTGCGCAGGCGCACAGGACGCTGGCGGCGGCTTACCAGGGCGTCAATTCGCGTAGGCAGGCCGAGACCTAGAATGAGCATGCGCGCGGCTTCGCCCTCAGTTGCGCCTGCGTCGGGTCGCGGTTTAGTTTGCCGGCTGAGTCCTTGGGCTCCAGGGTGTGAGTGGCCAGTGGCGCTCGGACTCCCTGAAGACCCGCGGAGGTCCCTGCGCCATGCCGGGCATGGTGCTCTTCGGCCGGCGCTGGGCCATTGCCAGTGACGACTTAGTCTTCCCAGGGTTCTTCGAACTGTTCCTGAGAGTGCTGTGGTAAGGGGAGGGACTGGACTGCGCCGAGGATGGGCAGGGTGTTGCTGACCCCTCAGGCCCAGATAAAAGTTACCAACCTCTGGGCGCCGCCGGGGCCCTGGCGCTCGTTATACATTTCCGTGTTTAGTGCTCACCACCGACCGAGGAGGTTAGGTGGTGTTGATGTCTTCATTTCACAAATGGCAAACTGAGTCCTGAAGAGGGGAGGCAGCGCCTGGGGTCACTCGGTGACTGTGACGTCCGCACTGCAGGGCACAACCTTCGCGCGTGCTGTGGCGCGGAGACCTGGCACCGAGAGGCGAGAAAGTCATTGCAGACCAGAAGGCGTCACCTGGAGCTCGCCTTCCTCCGGCCGTGTTCAGCGTGCAAAAGCATGCACCCGTTTCTGCAAAAGTTGGGAAATGCCTATAATCCTTAGTACTGTGGGAGGCTGAGGCAGGAAGATTGAAAACCTAGCTGGATAAGGTGCTAGACCCTCTTTCAGAAATAGATAAGGGCCGGGGATTTAGCTCTGTGGTGTAGCCAAAGGTCCTGAGTTCGATCCCAGGTACTGCAAAAATAAAAATAAAAAAATAAATAGCTGTGTTCAATACCTCTGCTGTTGTCTTTCACATCGTGGAATTAAAAAAGCAAACTTGGGAAGTAATACCCTCAGTAAGAATCGTGTTTAAAGTCCCAGTAAGAATCCTGTTTAAACTCAGTTCCCTGGGGCTGGAGCTAGGGTTAGGGTTATCATTGTTATGCAAAAGTAGATTCTTTCCGGGAAAGGAATGTAAAGTTTTGAGCTGCTTCCTAGGAGTTTCTCCAAATTTTTAGGGCCATGTTTTTAGAGATCATTTCCCTGTTGTTTCTAGACTCAATAGTGCTGATATCGCAAAATCGAAAAAAGTATTTAAATTTTTTTCCTTTCCCGGTGGTGTTGGACTTGAGCCTAGGGCCTCACACAAGTGCTTCGCCACTGAGCTAAACTCCTCAGGACCCAGTGTCACTGCTTTAAGATTCTGGGCTTGAATCCTTAATAAAGTGTCTTTCCACATTCAGCACTCTGTCGTCTGCTGAAATACCTCTAAGGAAAAATCAGAGTCATTTTTGCTTTGCATTGGGCACTGTTCTTTATTGTTCTGTACTGAATTGCATAGTGTAGTTTGAAGGCCACAGGACTTTCAAGTTTTATCTGCTCACCATGGAACATCTGTGTATCACTTTTCTCCCTCTTGGTTTTTAATTACAGACAGCAGGTTACAGTGTGAGTTTATTAGTGAGTTTTTAATCTATGATGTAAAAATTTTCTACTTAGTTGCATGTTTCTGAGTTGTGCTGGGCTATTTTCCAGCAACTCACATTATATTTGCTTGTTTACAGCTTTAGGTGGATTATGGCCGGCATAGAAAAAGAATGATAGAGGCATGGAAAGTATAAAACATTAAAAAAAAAAAAAAAAAAGAAAACTGTACTCTTTAGTTGACTTAGTATCTTTTATTGGTAAAAATTATTTAAAAAGTATATATGTAAAATAATAAGAATATAACAATTACATTCAAGCCAGGCATAGTGATGCATACTTGTAATCCCAACGCTCTGGGAGGATGAGATAGGAGATGAAAGTTCAAGCCCAGACTGGGCAATCTAGTATGACAGCATCTCAAAAAAACGGTGGGGACTGAGTGCTTAGCTTAGTGCCAAGGCCAAGGTTCAATCCCTACTACGTTTAAGAAAAAAAAAAACAACATGTTTTTTTCCAAAATACATATATTTACCTCATTTTGTAAAATATTAACTCATTTTATTTTTTTATATCATATTTTACAAAGTGGTGCCTTGGATTTTTTTTTTTTTAACATTGCTGGGGATTGAACCGAGGGCCTCATGCATACTAGGCAAGTGTTCTACCACTGTGCTGTACCCCAGCCTCCATTTCATTTCTGACCCTTCCTGTCTCTCCACAGGTGGATTGGCATTCTGACTTTGTATGTCATGCACAGAGAGAAGTTGGACTGTGCTGGCGGAGTCCTGCTCAACAGTTACTTGATCGTTCTCATTGTACTTCTAGCAGTTGTTATATGTACTGTGTTAGCCATCGTGTGTGTCAGCATGAAAGGTAAATACCTTTTTTTAATTAGACATCTTTAAAAAATTTTTTTCAGAGCCTTATTGAGATAATTTGCATACCATATAATGCACCCATTTAAAGTGTACTATTCAGTGGTTTTTAATATATCCAGAGGGTTGTACCTATTACCACATTCACTTTAGAACATTTGGTCATCACTATTATGGCTTAAATACGAAGTGTCTCCCAAAGTTTCATGTATTGATGGCTTAATTCCCAGTGTAGTAGTTCACTATAGTGTTCAGGAGGGCCAAGAAAGATGAGTGGGTTGGGAAGGCACTAACCTTGCTAATGGATTAATCTATTGATTCTGAGATGAATGGACTGTTAGGAGGTAGAGCTAGCCCAGTGAGGAGGTGCATGCCTGTAATCTCATCACTTAGGATGCTGAAGCAGGAGGATGGCTACAAGTTCGAGTCTAGCTTCGGCTACATAGTGAGTTCAAGGACAGTCTGAACTATATAGACTGTGTCTCAGAAAACAGAAGTTCAGGGATTTAGCTCAGTGGTGCTGCTACCTGCTTCATGAGTGCAAAGTACTTAATTCGATCCCTGGTACCAAATAAAACAAAACAACAACAACAAAAAAGGAGATAGAGCCGTTCCCTTCTCCATCTTGCTCTCTTGGTGTCTCTCTGCTTCCTGCCTGCCTTGAGCCAAAAGCTTTCCCCTGTCATTCCCTTCCACTATAAGATTTCTGTATTGGAACCAACTGACCATGGACTGAAACCTCTAAAATTCTGAGCTAACGTAAACCTCTCTTTTAAGTTGCACATGTCAAGTGTTTTGTTCTACCAGTAGAAAGCTGACCGGGACAGTCACCCCAAAATAAATCCTGTCTGTTCCCAGTATGTGCCATTCCTCATTTCTCTGGTTTATCCAGCCTTAGACATCTACTAGTCTGCTTTCTGTCTATAAGTTTTGTTTATTTTGAACATGATGTAAGTGGTATTACCTATTCTGTGGCCTATTGGTCTGGCTTCATAAGCTTAGTGTAATATTTTCAAGGTTCATGTATATTACACAGGTGTCAGTACTTTATTGGCTTCTTATGGCTAAACAAGATTACAGTGGTTGCATATATTTTATTCATGTATCATTTGGTGAGCATTTGGGTTGTTGACACTTTTTGGCTATTACAAATAATGCTGCTGTGAACATTTGCCTTTGGTTTTGTTATAGACCTAGTTCTTCATTTCTCTTGGGTGTTTACCTGGGAGTGAAATTGCTAGGCCATATGGTAACTCTCTTGAGGAACTGTCAGACTTTTCCAAAGTTGTATCAATTTACTTTCTTACCAGCAACGTATAAGAGTTCTAATTTCCCACTGTTCTCACCAACACAGTATTATCTGAGTTTCTGATTGTAGTCTTCCTGGTGAGTGTGAAATGATATCTTATGGTTTTTATCTGCATTTCCTTGATAACTAGTGAGTCTTGGCTGTCTTTTCATGATTTTTATTTTATTTGTTTATTTATTTATTTGGTATCAGGGATCAAACTTGGGACCTCGCACTTGTGAGGCAGGCAGCCATACCACTGATCTAAATCCCCAGCCCTCATGACCTTTTTAATGTCATTTTTGGAGAAATGTCAGCTTTTCCAAAATTTTAAACTACATTATCCTTTTATCAGTGGTTTATAAGAGTTACACCTATTCTTTTTTATTTTTTTAATGTAGTGTAGTCACTTGAACCCAGGGCTTCTTATGTTTTAGATAGCTCCCTACCAATGAGCTACATGGCCAGGCCTACCCCCCCCTTTTTAGTGTTACTGGGGCTTGAACTCAGAGTATTTACACTGTACTACCTCCTGAGCCCTTTTTTATTTTGAGACAGGATCTTGCTGAATTTTCTAGGCTGGGCTCAAATTTGCTATCCTTCTGCCTCAGCCTCCTAGAGTGTTGGGATTATAGGTGTATTTCTCCATGCCTAGCTCCTACACTTAGTCTTAATGATAATTTTTCTTAATGATAAACCTACATGTTATGGTTTTCTGGAATCATCTCTCTGGACATATTGAAAACCTTTTTGCTCTGGTTTATAGGCTGAGCTAGCTGAGTATTCTGGTGACTATAATTAAGAAATGCTTTGGGCCAGGGATGTAGCTTAGTGGCACAATGCCTGCCTGGCAAGTGCAAGGCCCTAAGTTCAATTTCCAGTACCAAAAAAAGAAAAAATGATTAAAGACAGACTGCTCCCAGGAAATGAGGAGCAAGTACCAAGTCAAAGCCGCCATTGCCACTCAGATCCCTCTTATTCCTGCAGCTGCCTCTGCTAGGGGTGGGGCTGAATTTGGCAGTCCTCATGCCCAGTGGAATTGAAAGCAACCCATTGCTGATTTCTCCCTGACTTCTATGACCCCTGTATCCCTTGGTGTTTCTACCCTGACCCTCCCAGAGGTTCAGTGCTTCATATTCAGTGTTAAGTACATGAATTGCATTTGGAACATTAGGTCTGAGCCCCAGCCTACTAACCCGGCTGCACTATTGGTACAAAATCTCTGATAAAGTTCAGGAGTGTGGCCTCTTATCTGTCCTCAGCAGAAATGACTTCTGGTTGTTGGCTGTGAAACTAGGAGCTCTGTCTCTGCCAGACATTGCTCTTCAGCTCCAGGACCACAGGAGCTCAGGAGGCAGGCCACCCAGGTGCTAAAAACCTCAGAGTCTAGTGACCCCTGGGCTCCAGAGAATCCTCACAAGCAGAGCAAATCCCAGTCAGAGCTGCAGTGGAACAACAGGCACTTGGAGCAACGTTTGCAGCACTTGGTTCAGTACCAGAGCAACCACGATCATAGCTGGACTACTGAAGGACCAGCAGATCACAGACATCACTTCTCCCTGCTTTTGTGAATGGGCAGAACTCCACATTTGGAGCCTCTCTAGAGCATCTCAAAATTGGAGTGAATAGAGCCACCACTCCACTGGGGAATAATACTTCAAAGAGAGTACTTCATTATTTGCTTTGGAAGCTGTGCTGGACCATTGGCTCCATAAGATGGATTATTAGCCTCATCTGTGTGTACTGGAGGCAGGAAAGGACAGCAGAGTGAACTCCCATCCTCAGGAACCTAAAGGAGGGTGGGTGTGGTGGTGCACACCTGTAATCCCAGCACTCAGGAGGCTGAAGCAGGAGGATCACCACAGATTTGAAGCTAGCCTGCGTTAACGTAGTGAGTTCAAGACCAGCCTGAGCTACGTGGCGAGACTTTGTCTCAAAAACAAAACAAAACAGAAAAAGAAAAAAGCCAGGCATTAGCATTATCTAATTTATTTGCCTTTTTTTGTTTATGTTGCATTCTGTTTGGACCACTGAGTCTGTAACTATTAGATACAAATTTGTAACAATAAGTGTAAAGTTTTCCTTCCTGAAATGGTTGCTTTTCTTCATTTATTTTTGGTGGCGTCAGAGCACATGCACATTCCGCTGAGGGATGCTCATATTCACTCCAGTTACTACCATGGTGCCTGAACCAGCACACACTCATGCTCAGAGCTTTGAGATCATCAACAGGTCATGGGCTGCTTGTCCCACAACCGTCTCCAAACAGAATGCCATCCCATACATACCAAATATGTGTCAGTGGAGCTAACTAGAAGCTCCAGAATGATTCTCAGTGTGATCACTGGTTCAGGTGTGGATGTGGGACCTGACTTAGGCCAGGAGGATTTGCTGGAAGGTGCTGGGAAAGTACTTCCTTGCACCTCTGAGAAATATTCAGAAGCCACTTGTCACTTTTCTCCTGGATGATGCTATTATCTCCACTTGAAGCCCAAGATGAGCAGGCACAAAGGAGGCAGCACCATGTGAAGCCTCTGCACACCCATCCCTGAGTCAGTACATGTCCTTCCTGCATTTCAGCTAATTGGCATTGGATTTTCTTTACTTGTGGTTAGAGGTATCCAGCTGAACTGAGAAAAGTATTGTATAGAAATGTAGAAGGCTAATTGCCAATTTAAAGCCAGGCATGGTGGCGCATACCTGTAATCCCAGCACTTGAGAAGCTGAGCCAGAAGGATCACCATGAGTTCAAGGCTTGCCTGGGCGAGACCAGCCTGAACTACAAAGCAAGACCCTGCCCTTCGTTCAATTCTCAGTACTTAAAAAGAAGAAAAGAAAAATATATTGGAAAAAAACTAAATGCCAGTTTGTATTTTATGCATACTACATTTATGCACATCACCTATTAAAAGAGAGAGCATGCCGGGATTTAGCTCAGTGCTTCTGTTGCCTACCTCGCAAGCGCAAGGTCCCATGTTTAATCCCTGATACCCAAAAAACAAAAAGAAAAGTGAGAACATGATGTATGGATTTGGATTTGTGGCAGCTCCGTCCCCCTGGGTTTTCACAATGTCCCACACCAGAGCAAGCTGTGGCCCAGAACCATTGCCTGCCCCTGCCCATAGGCTATTGGCACTGAAGCAGGTTGTACAATGGTGAAAAGAGAGAGAAAGAAAAAATGCTTTGTAACCAGGGATGATTTCCAGTGTGCTCAGATATAGGACGTTGTGGTTCATTTGTTGCTTTTTTTCCCCAAAGGCTGTATAATTTTTGTTTCTGCACAGACTTGCCTTAAGAGTATACACAAACCCCAGGTCTCCTCTGGGGGTAAAGGGATGGGAGTGGAGGCTTGAAATGTACTTCATATCCACTTGACCTGTTTGAGCTTTTACCCTCTGCAGAATCAATCATGTTTTAAAATAAATCTTAAATTTCAGGTATATTTTAACATTTAACACGCTGGTAAATTTTATTCTTGGTACAAGGATTATTTCCATTGTCCCTTTTGTTTCATTAGTTAAGTCTCAGTAATTAATCTGTCATTTTTGGTAGAGAGACAATTAGTATTTAGCTTTTTAAATAATACTGATTATGGGCTGGGGATTTAGCTCAGTGGCATCATGCCTGCCTTACAAGCGCAAGGTCCTGAGTTTGATCCCTGGTACCAAAAAAAAAAAAAAAAATACTGATTGAGTGACTGATTGACTGATTTCTCAGCCCTTTTTTTATTTTAAGACCTGATCTTACTAAGTTGCCTGGGCTGGGCTCAGATTTGTGATTCTTCAGCCTCCCAGAGTGATGATGGGATTACAGGCTTGCCACCACTCCTGATGGGGTTGATTTTTAAAGTATCTACACCCTTTATTCCCAGATAGAGAGTGGGTCTGATTTTAATTAATAACATAAAATATATGCCAAAAATGAGGCCAGATAGTGCCTCATATTTTAAAATGTGTTAGTAATTCTAATAGAGGCCTTTTTTTTTTTTTAATTTAAAGGGTATTTCTTCACCATGACATTTATTACATCTTAGATTTTTTTTCAGTAGTTGTTTTTATTTTAATCATAGGGCATTTTTTATGTTACTTAGATTAGTTTTTATCTTAGCTTTTTTTCCTAAAGGGAAATAAAGTGTTTTATACCAAGAATTAAAGCACCTATGCTTCTACTGATACTTGGATTTGTTTTACAAATGCAATAAAAATGTCATATGGGGGCCAGGGATTTAACTCAGTGGTTTCACCGCCTGCCTTGCAAGCGCAAGGATCTGAGTTTTATCCCCGGTAACAAAAAAAAAAGAAAGTCATGTGGCACCATACATGAGTGGGAGCCTGGCAAGTCCCTGAGAGGAGCCACTGCTGCCACAGCTGTCATCCATTCACTGTGGAGCCAGGAGAGGAGGGGAGAGGTCTGGAGGGCACCATCCTGATCCTCAAGGTGGAAATAAAATTGGAATACATGGTATATAGCAATTCTCTAATGATGTGGCACTTGATCCAGCCAGCATTAGTATTTTGATCATTGCGGAAGAGAGCAGTAGCACTGAGTTCTCCAAGCAGGAATTCCTGCACAGCATGACTAAATTAGAATCTACAATGGCCATTGCCCATTGGAGCTTAGTGCTTAATAGAAGATTTAAATTCTTAGACCAGTAGAATAAATTTTTGTCAGAACATCATAAATGATCAATACCAAAACATACTGCTGGGCGTGGTGACTCACGCCTGTAATCCCAGCACTCAGGAGGCTGAGGCAGGAGGATCTCTGTGAGCTCAAGACCGAGCACCAGGTCAATCTCAACTACATAGTGAGACCCTGTCTCAAAAAACAAAAACAAACAAACAGAAAAAGATACTTGGAGTCTTCTTTTAGAATTCAGTACAGCAATTGCAGGTGACATGTCTAATTATGGTGAAGAAGGAGCATGGCCTTTTTTCATTAATGACTTTGTGGAATTTGCACACCTTCAAATTGCTGGGATAAAAAGTACAACAGTGTAGCACTAAGGAATATTCTAGAATGTACATAGTCTGTACAATAAATACAGCAGAAAATTGCACAGTTTCTGCTGGCTGGACTGACCTGAAGATCAACCCTCAATTGAGGGTTGAGACAAAACTTTACGGATATATCTTGGACTGTATTATATTTCATTTTTCTAATGGTGGTCTGGACTTGTCTTCTAGTCTGGACTGCTCTAAACATTTATAATTTCAATGTTGTGAATTTCATCTTCATATCTGTGGAGTATCCTACTTTATTCTCCTATGAGTCTTAGAAGCTTTATGGTGAATATTCTGAGATTTCCATTCTCACATAAAGCATGATGCTTCTTCACTGGAAAACAGTTTGGCATAAGAATTAAACATAATGAACATCTCAAACAATTTATAAAAACTTTTTAAATGCTTTGGGCTAGTTGCAAAGACTATGTGACTGTTGGCCACTTCCAGTGAGAGTGATATGTTTAAGTGGAATTGTGCTTTGGTTTGGGAGGATTTTTTTTTCTGGCATATCACATGTATTGTTGACTTAAGTGGAGTATCTGATGAAAGAAATGTCAAAACAACCAGCATGAAAAATTTTTAGGGTGACTTGGTGCCTACCTGAAAAATGTATTGTGTTTTAGACTCTTAGTTTCAAAACGATTTCACAGAATTAATCTGCACTTCCCTTACCTTTGTTTATATGTGATGGTGATGGTCTTACTAGGAGATTTTATTTAGCAAATGTCTGCATAATGTTAGATTTCACTCTTGACTACATTATGCACCACATAATTGGATTTCATCATGCTTTTGAAATGCTTATATGCCTATCATATATGTTAAACTGACTGTTTTGAATTGCTATATGATGCAGTATTCTAAATTTTTAAAAAATGTCTTGTGTATTAGTCTTCTTCAAGTGGTTTCACCATCAGAATTGTTCATTTCCAGGAAGAGAGTGGGGGGATTATAGCTCAACGGTAGAATATGTGCTTAGGCACTAGGTTCCATCTCTAGCATCAAAATAAATAAATTCACTTCCCCAAAGTGTGGACCACTGGACAAAGAGCTTGAGTCATACAGACTTGGATTATATTTAGAAAGTACCTATTAAGCTCTCTGGGCCCAGTTCCTCTTGTGTGGGCGTGTGTGCGCACAGTACTTGAGTTTAAGCCCAGGGCCTCACACTGAGCTATATCCACAGCCCTTTTTAAATTTGTTTATTTATTTATTTATTTATTTTATAGGTACTGGGGATCGAACTCCGGACCTTACACTTGCAAGGCAGGCAGTGACACCACTGAGCTAAATCCCTGGCCCTGTTTTATTTTTGAGACAGGGTCTTGCTAAGTCACTAGTTGTCCAAGCTGGGCTTGAACTTGTGTGATCCTCCTGCTTAGGCCTCCCAGCGTGCTAGGATTACAGGCATTGTCTGTTTACCAACCTCCAGCACACCCCCGACCCCGCCACCACCCCACCCTGGCCCTGCTTCAGTTCCTCATTTATAAAATGGGATGGTAACTAACCCAGCATTCATTGTTCAGGTACTTATCAATATGCCTTCTTTGCTCTCACAAGTGACCCAGCCTGGACAGTGATTGTGTGGTCGTGTAGCCAGAACCCAGGAGTGTTCATCCTTAGCAAGAAGTGAATCTGAGGTTCTGTCATGTTTCCTTCCCATCCTTCACTTTTGTCACTGGCTCTCATACTTGGGCACTGGCCACCAACTGCAAGCCAGCAGAGTTAGAGGGTAATGGAGGATCATACAGAGCATGCGCTAGCAACTGCATTTTGTGGGAAGGGGGCCTCTTCACCTCTGAGGAGGGAGTAAGCCATTGATTATTTCTGTGTTTCAGGAACCATTTGTAACCCTGGACCACGGAAGTCTATGTCTAAGCTGCTTTACCTCCGCCTAGCACTCTTTCTGCCAGAGATGGTCTGGGCATCTCTGGGGGCCGCCTGGGTAGCAGATGGTGTTCAATGTGACAGGATAGTTGTGAATGGCATCATTGCAACCGTCATTGTCAGGTGAGGTCTTATTTTCTCTTTTAGTGTCTTCTCATTACAGTTGCATTTGAAATGTAGGTGAATGCATATCTCTGAGGAATGCAACCAGAGAACTTCCTTAGGTAGCTAGAATGAGACCTGACTCACTTAGTTTAGACACATTTGTTTAGGCATGATAGATAATTCATCTTCCATTATCCATTTGTTGATGTTTTTTCTTTCTTCCTGGGTTCTTAGTTTCTTGTATTCCCTTTCTTATAAGAAGGAAGAAAACCAAAGACTAAAGCAAGGGCAAAGACTAAAGATAGGATGAGAAGAAATGGAGTATCAAGTATCATGACAGGCAATAGTGCTCTAATAAGCCTAATAAGGTGTTTGCATCTTCTGGAATAAAAATCTTAGAGATAATCTGGTTCCATCTCTTAGAGTTATGAATAAGGAAACTGAGGCCCATGCTGTTGCCAGCTTTCCTGAGTTACCTGGTGAGAGAGCAGCAGAACCGCTTCATGGAGGTGTCTTCCCAGCAGCACAGTGTCCAGGAGCTCATAGGATTTGTGCATATGGGCAAATCTGGGAATACTTACAAGATACAAATGAAAGGCATATCAGAGTGTCCCACAGCTTTTAGTTTTACCAGAAGCACCGTGAGATGCACTGAGGAAGGCCTAAGTCATGCCACCACAGAGCTCCATGTTTCCTTTGTGGCCCTTATTTTTTGTAGGGCCTGAGTTGACTGTGAAGAACTCTGTAGAAGAAACAGTTTGCTCACCTCAGCCAGACTCTGGGAGATCTGTCTTCCTGGTTCCCAAGCCCTCAGTAGAGACCCAGAACTGAACATGAAGTAGGTGCCTCAGGCTCTGTGGATAGAGGTAGAGCCCCTAGTCACCAAGCCCTTTCCCCTCTCTCTTGCAGTTGGATCATCATCGCTGCCACTGTTTTCACCATTATCATTGTCTTTGACCCACTGGGGGGGAAAATGGCTCCCTATACCTCTGCTGGTCCTGGTCACCTGGATAGTCACGAATCAAGCCAGTTACTTAATGGCCTCAAGACAGCAGCTACAAGCGTGTGGGAAACAAGAATCAAGTTGTTGTGCTGTTGCGTGGGAAAAGACGATCACACTCGAATTGCTTTTTCGAGTACGGCAGAGCTTTTCTCAACCTACTTTTCAGTAAGCTGAAGGGATCTGATTTGGTCTCTTTCTCTTTCCATGAATCCATCTTACATGAAATTGAGCACTCTGACTGGGCTTTGAGCTAATCTCCCTTGTCGTATAAGCGGCTTTTGAGAATCCAGAAATTCTCGGTGTGGGGTTGGGGACAGGCTCTTCCTGGGATGAGCGCCTTGGGGGTCAGTTAACTTCAAGGGCCATGCTTTTTGAGACCCTGTCTTGACTCTTAGATGCATCGTTTCATTGACACCTGCTCATTACACTTCCTTTTATTTTGGGTACTGGGGATCGAACTCAGAACCTTGCACTTGCCAGGCAGGTGCTGTGCCACTGAGCTATATTCCCAGCCCACTCCCTTTGTAAAGGAACTAAATAGGTTGAACCTGTACAGTTGGGGACTAGCATGCACACACGCCCACACCCACACACACTTCATATTCTCTGTCAAGTTGATGCAGCAGATACATGTGAGCAGTGTTGTGCATCCAGAGTAGTCTCAGATAGCAGTTTCTTATCACTTACATGATAGAAATGATAGCTTTTGCAGAAAGCCAGGAGTGGTGATGCACTCCTAGCAACTCTGGGAGGCTGTGGCAGGAGGATCACAAATTTGAGCCCAGCTTGTGTGAGTCAGTGAGACCCTGTCTCAAAATTTTAAAATTTTGAAAAGAAAGTAGGTCCATGGGAAGGGTTCAGTTCTTGGTTTGAAGGAAGCAAGTCCTGACTTATTAGAGTGTAAAAATGTGTCATCGTTCTAGAGCAATTTCTTGAGCGACTTGGGAATATTTATTTTCTTTCATATCTACTGTGTTATTTTTGTCTTTTCACATAATGTTCTCTGATAAACTGCTGTCATTTTCCATATTGAGACCAGGTAAGGGCGACTGGTTCTGATAGTCCACATCCCTTCCTGTCCATTTCTTGCTTCTCTGTGGTGTCTGACTCTCCAGTGTCCTGGACCAGCCCTACAGCTTGACAGCAAGCTACAGAAGCAGACTGCATGTAGGGATTAGAGAAGTGTGTCCCGTAAATTGGAAGGGACTATTTCAGTCTGCTCTGAGGAAAAAGAGAAGCTGGTTTTTCTCAGAAAATTTCTTCTTTTCATTTCTCACTTCACTTCTTCACTTTTCTCTTTCTCTTTCTCTTTTGCTTTTCCTTTTTTTTTTTTTGAGACAGGGTCTTGTTGTGTAGTTCAGGCTGTCCTTGACTGTAGCCCAGACTGGCATGAGACATTTGGTGATCCTCCTGCCTCTGCCTCCTCAGTGCTAGGATAACAGGCGTGCACCACCATGCCCAGCTCAGAGGATTTCTTAATGTATCTATATCATAGGTTCATTGGTTGGTACATGATCTTTCTTGTGAGCTGAAGTGCCTTTTGGTGCTTCTGACTGTTCCCTGTCTATTTTTGAAAGAAAAGGGTAAGATTGGCACCAGAATGCTAAAGTCTGCTTTACCACCTTGAGATTTGGAGTACGCGCTGTTCCCAGGAACATATTCAGTCTCATACATACCAGGTGTAGTCTTATGTTTCCATAAAACTGTTACAACACCTTGAGAATGAAGAGTATAAACTTGAGCTGAAATTGTACATTATTAAAAATATGGATGGTTTAATCATTTGTTCTCCACATTTACAAAAGATTTGAAGTATACTAGAAATAGTTAAATTTACTTGAAGTAGAATTTTGAACTAGGGACCCATCTAGTAGATTTGTCTGAGGATAAGACTTGAGAAAATACTAAGCTCAAATATGGGAGGAGACCTGTGAGGAATGCCTTTAAACTACCTTTGTACATGTAAATGTTCTCAGTGTATCCACACTGCACCTATAAACTATGAGACTGAATCGTGAAGCATTCTGGGCAGCATCTGCTAAGTTTTATGCTAGGCTATCATGCTTTTCCATGCAGGACACAGATCTGGTGCCCAGTGACATTGCAGCAGGCCTGGCCCTTCTCCATCAGCAGCAGGACAACATCAGCAGCAGCCAGGAACCAGAGGAGGTGATCAGCCACTCCCCAGGGCATCCCCAGGTAATCCCAGATTTCTTTTGGGTGGTACAGTCTTGATGCTTACACTGTGTAGACCTTCAAAACTAGACAGCTAACCAAGAGCAATTTCAGTAGCAGTTGGGCCAGAATCAGTTTGTGCTCTGTAACACACCTGTCTGGTGAGGTAGATCCTCAACACTTGGGGGGCCCTGGTAGCAGGAGCGCATTCCCAGCAAGATCACTGTGCATCTTATTTTCAGACCCTTCTACTTTGGGAAATTTCCTGCTGGGTTCTACACACCAGGAAAATTCCTTCTAAGTTGGAACCTGAGGCCCCCCTGAATGTGTTTCCTTTTCTCTCTTCTCTTGGTCTGAGAAGTGGGAAGCTTCACCAGATGATAAATTTCCTCCTGTAGACTTTTATGTTTTGTATCAGTTTTGGGTTTTTGAGACAGGGTCTTACTATGCAATTCAGGCTGACCTTGATCTCACTATATAGTTCAGGCTAGCCTCGAATTTGTGATCCTACTGTCTCAGCCTCCCAAGTGCTGGGATTACAGGTGTATACCACCACACCCAGCAATTTTTATGTTTTCGAAAGAGAAAATTGCACACATGATGCATATTGTTTCTTTATCTCTTGCTAAAACACTGAGTTCTTGGCAGCGTCTGTGTTGCAATGTGTAAATGTGCTAGTGCTTCTGGTAGGAAGCACAGACTCATCTCAGCAGGAGTCAGGAATCATTACATAAGCAGGGAGTGGTGTTGGATGCCTGTGATCCTAGCACTCTGGGACGCTGAGGCAAGAGGATTATAAGTTGGAGCTCAGCCTGAGCAACTTAGTGAGACACTGTCTCAAAATGAAAAATACAAAGGGGCTGGAGAGGTACCTCTGTGCAAAGGCCCTGGGTTCAATTCTCAGTGCTGCAAAAGCAAAAAAAAAAGAAAAGAAGAATCACTGTGGTCTTGTTGCTGTTAGCTTCCTTCTCAACTGCATTCCTGAAGGAGTCCACTTGAGTTTGTGTTTAAGGGCCAGTTCTGGTCAGTGAGGAAAGAGAGAGAATCAGGAGTTGGAGTTGAGGTTTAAGATCTTAGTATGTTCATCCTCCCCATAATGAGTTCCCCTAAATAAAAAGCATCTTTTTTTTCTCTTCCAGGAAGCTGACTTGGATGCAGAATTAGAAAATTGCCACCATTATATGCATTTTGCAGCAGCTGCCTATGGGTGGCCTCTCTACATTTATAGAAACCCATTTACAGGGCTGTGCAGGATTGGTGGTGACTGGTACGTTGGCACTGTGTGAGGCCTCCATATCCACATGTCTCTTGGTACCGGGGATTGAACTCAGGACCTTGCACTTGCAAAGCAGGTGCAGCACCATTAAACTAAATCCCCAACCATCCACATTTTTTTTTAATTCTATTTTAAAATATTTTAAAAGCTTGCAGGAACAGAACAGAGATGTCTGACCTAAATCTTTTGTCTGGAGTCCTCAGTCTAGATTCCTGTATCTAGAGACTGACTCATTTTGTCATGTGTGCCATATCACATACTGTAGACACATTCCACTCTTCCCAAGGATTTGAGTTCAGTTGTAGACTCCTTGCTTCTTTATTTCTAATTACTTCAGTCTAAATTTCTGAAGCATGACGTTCTTTTACGTAACTCCAGTAAAATCGTCAACTGGGGAACTTTATCATTTTTAATTTGTTTCTATTTTTGGTGGCATAGAGCATGAACCCAGGAGCACCCTACCACTGAACTGCATCTCTATCCCTTTCATTTTTTGAGACAGGGCCTCACTAAATTGCCCAAGCAAGACTTGAATTTGTTTTGTTTGTTGTTGTTGTTGTTGTTGGTACCAGGATCGAACTTGGAACCTTGAGTTTGCAAGGCAGCCAGTGGAACCACTGAGCTAAATCCCTGGGCCCTGAGACTTGAATTTGTGATCCTTCTGCTTCAGACTTCCAAACTGCTGGGATTACAGATGTGCACCACTGGGCCTGGCATCTTTAACTAATTTATAACTTATACTCTGCTTCTTTCAATTGCCCCGGTAATGTCCTTTTTAGCAGTTTTCCCTTGACCCACAGCTACACTTTGCATATGGTTGCCCTGTCTACTTAACGTCCTTGGATTTGGAGTTCTTCAGCCACTCCTCTGTCTTTCACAGTGTTAACATACTGAGGAGGTCATAGTAGGTATTTTGTAGATGAGTCTTCTATTTCATCACCTGGAGGTTTCCTTGTGGTTAGATCCAGGTGTTGGGCTTTTGGCAGGAGGTGCTCTGTGAGGAGCTGTGTCCTTCCTGGTATGTCCCACCAGGAGCATGTGAGATTGCTAGGTCATCCTGCTCTTGGCGCTATTGACATGATAATTGGCTGAGGCAGTGACAGCAGGTTCTGCACAGAGGTGGTCCCTTCTCCTTATAATGAGGTCCTCCAGCACTACTTAAACATTTGGTCCTCTCCAAACTCAACCAGATCTTTTGGTATGCATTGATTGTCATGTGAAGAATCAGTTATTATTAGAATCAGTTATAAAATTGTGACTTTTCCAAATTCACCATTTCTTCTGCATTAGTTGTCATTCTGCCTCCCTCCCTTTTTTTTTTTTTTTTGGTGCTGGGAATTGAACTCCGGGCCTCTCACTGGCCTGACAGGCACTATGCCACTGCCGCTGAGCTATATCCCAGGCCCTACTATTTATTATCAATAGGGATATATAGGTTCTGACCTTATTCAGTGGGTTATAATATATTACTGTTCTTTTGTTGTTGTTTAATGTAGGCTGGCCTTGAGCTCACTATTTACCCCAAGCTAGATTCCAGCTGGTGCTGATCCTCCTGCCTCAGCCTCCTGAGTGCTAGGATTACAGGAGCACACTACCATGCCCAGCCCATTTCCTGAGTTTCTGCGTTAAGATTCTTTTTTTAGAGCTGTTGGAGGTGAGACACTGTCTGGCTATGTGGTTCAGGCTGGCCTTGAGCTCACAATGTAGCCTAGGGTGGCCTTAAACTTGCAGCAGTTCTCTTGCCTCAACCTCCCAAAGTGCAGGGATTACAGGCTTAGACCACCACACCTAGTTTGACTTTAGATTCTCCAGCCTCTTCTTGTGCTTTCTGTAGATTTAACTTGCAGGGCTCGCTCTCACTGGCACTGGTAATTAGAAAGCAAGAACTAGGGGCCAGGTGTGGGTATTATTACTAGGGTGTTATTGCTTATTGGCCTTTTCAGTGGGCAGAGTTGGGGGGAAATAGCAATTCCACGTGATTCAGCCCAGTATTTATTTATTTTAAAAATTGTAAGTTTGGTTGGGCACAGTGGTGCACTCCTGCAAAACTCGCTATGGGAAAAGTCAAGGTGGAAGGAAGAGTGAGCTTGAGCCCAGCTTGGGCATTGTAATGAGATCCCATCTCAAAAAAAAAAACAAAAATAAAAACAAAAAACCAGCGAGATTGGTGGTGGCGCAGGCCTGTAATCCTAGCACTTGAGAGGCTGAGGAAGGAAGATCACTGCTAATTTGAGGCCAGCCTAGATTACATGGTGAATTCAAAACCAGCCTGAACTGAATAATAAGACCTTGTCTCAAAAATAAGAATAATAATAAAATCACGAGTTAAAGGGCTACAGATGTAGTTTGGCAGTAGAACACTTGCCTAGCATATCCAAGGCTGTGTTTCCAGCACTACCAAAAAAAAAAAAATTGGTTTATATTGGTGCCTTTTGATTCTTGTCCAAAGCCACAACTTTTTCTTCTTCCATATCCTGTATTTGTCCATTTTCTCTCTCAGAGAGAACTCTGACACCCAAAACATCAGTACCAAGTACTCCCAAAGAAATTTGAGCATGGTCAGACTTAGCACTACAGCCAAAAAGATATTCCCAGAGTCTAGTTTGTAGTGTTGAAAGTTCTTTTTGTTTTTAGACTTAGAGTACTATATCTGCAAGTTACTTAGATTAGTCCTTTTATTGTTGTTTCTTCAGAATACTGATTGACCCCCGTTAGTAAGCATTTAGTTTCAGTTTCTCTCTACCCTTGTTGATTTAATTTATTTTTGAATATATAAAGCACTGGCACAATGCCAGAAGGCAAAGCCGTGGTAAGAGGTGTACACAGAGAAGTGTTTGTCTTCCCCATCCTGGTACTTGGCAGTGCTTGCTGGGAAATCGTGGAGGTGTGGATTATGTTCCTGTTGAGGGGCGTGTACTGACAACTTCCCTCTTTTGCAGTTGTAGAAGCAGGACCATGGAATATGAGTTGGTAGGAGGTGATCAGCTCAACTGTCATTTCGTCTCCATCCTGCATACGACAGGCCTGCAGTACAGGGACTTCATTCACATAAGCTTTCACGACAAGGTACAGTAACTAATCTTGGGTCCTGGGGTCCTTTGCAGTTCTGAGGGAAGTTCTAAATTATTCTTCATATAATTCAGAGACAGACATATTTACCCCCAAATCTTAAGCACAATTTCTGGGAGTTTACAGATGTCCTTATAGCCCATGTAACCCATGGAGCCAATTAAAAACCTAGGTTTTAGGCTGAGGATTTAGCTCAGTGGTGCCGCCGCGTGCCTCGAAAGCATAAGGTCCCAAGTTTGATACTCAGTACTCAAAACAAGATGAAACAACCCTAGGTTTTGAGCCATGCATGGAAGTGTACACCATTAATCTATCTCAGTATTCAGGAGCCTGAGGCAGGATTGTGATTTTGAGGCCTGCTTGGACTATGTAGCAAGACTCTGCCTCACTAGACTTAAAAAAAAAAAAAAAAAAAAAAAGAAATAAACAATTTAGGTTTCACATAAGATGGAGCAATAAGGTTTTCTTAGGGATACCACACTATTTCTTACACAATCCAATCTTTGCCAAGGTACAGTGAACTGCATCAGAATCACCCCCATGCAGCCTTTTGTTTTGGGTCTAGGGCTCTGTCAGCAGTCAGGTTTTGCATGGATCTCATGTTCTGGAAGTACTGCAGTGCTCTGGAAACATGATGAGGCTGCAGAAGCCAGCTCCACCTTAGTTTCCACAGCCTATGCCCAGTGCTGGGCAATAGCCCTCTACGCTGTTCTTGGCCCCAGGACCTAAGAGCTAGTGGTTTGAGGAAGTGGTTCTCAGCTTCGGCTGCCTAATGGGATCTCCTGGAGAGCTCATAAGATAACCTGAAGGCCACATTTGGATTAGTTCTGTCAGTCTTGGAAGGTGGGACCCTGCTCAGGGCTTTAAAAGCCCCCCACTTTAGTTGGGCATGGTGGCATATATCTGCAATCCCAGCACTTTGGGAGCCTGAGGCAGGAGGGTCACAAGTTCAAGCTCACCCTAGGCAATTTAGAGTCACTTAGGGAGACCCTGTCTCAAAAAGTGATAGGGGAGCCGGGTGTGGTGGTGCACGCTTGTAATCCTGGCACTCGAGAGGCTGAGACAGGAGGATTACTGCAAGTTCGAGACCAGCCTGGGCTACACAGTGAGTTCCAGAGTCTGAACTACATAGTGAGACCCTGTTTCAGAAAACCAAAAAAAAAAAAAAAAAAAAAAGTGATGGAGGCTGAATAAAGAAAATGTGGTTTTCTACTCAGCCATAAAGAACAAGAAACTAAGAGTCATTTATAGGTAAATGGATGCATATTGATGCCATACTCTTAAGTGAAAAATAAGAGACACACATGTAAATACTGAATAGTTTCTCTGGTGTGAAAAACTAAAAGTATAAATAAGGTTCAAATTGTATAATTGAAAATGTGAAACAGGAAGAAAAAGGCTAAAGGAGGGGAAGTGGGAAGGGTAGGGGAAAGGAAAGAAGGGAAAAGAAAAAATATGAGAAAAGGAAAAAATGGAAACAAAGTCTTTGTAAATAGGGAAGGGAGGGCAGGGGTATGGGGAGAAAATAAGAACCAAGATACATCATGTAATAAATTTAATGTGGGGGAAAAGGGGGATGGGGACACAGCTCAAGACAAATCCCTGGATTCAGGCTCCAGTACTGGAAATAAAATTAAAAAAACCCCAGAAAAATGAACCCTGGAAGTGGGTGCCTATAATCTTAACACTCTGGGAAACTGAGGCAGATGGACTGCAAGTTTTGAGTCCATCTTGGCCAACCTAATGACTTGATGAGGCTCTGTATCAAAAGGACTGGGCATATGGCTGAGTTTGTATAGCATATAACTAGGTTTAATTCCTGGTGCTACAAAAACAAAAAAGATGAGACAGACACTGAGAGAACTGGAAACACTTGCATGAGAGCACACAGTAAGAAGGTACAGAGCTGAGTTTCTGCCCCCCTCAATCATGTCCGTGTCTCTTAAGACCCTGGTTCTCAAAACTGGAGCCCAGAATTGTGGCTTTAGCGTTGCTTTCTTCTAAATCAGAGTGCATGCTTACCAGACCCAAAGCCTTTTGATCCTGCTCAGAGTCCTGTAAAGCAGAGGATGCTTGTCTTGTGTTTATTGCTGTGAGAGGCTGCTGAGCTAGGCCTGCCCCAACCCCAGTAGTTGACAGAGTAGTGTGGTCCCCGAGTCTGGCAAACAGCTGGCCTCCTGGAGGGGCTGCTACTTGTCAGTAGGACTGCATGTGACCACTGAGCAAGGCACTGGTGCCGGGGCCCAGCTGCAGAGGTAGTAAGTGAGGTTACATGTTGTGCAGCGGGGCATGAGGTCTGACTTGGAGAGGCCGGAGAAGCTGGGAGGGATGCCAGAGTTGTAACATGGCTTTTTGTTGGGCTGGTTTTCTTTTTGGTGGTGCTGGGGATTGACCCAGGGCCTTCTCACTGAGCTACATTCCCAGCCCTATTTTATTTTTTGAATGAAAATGTTTAAATTTATTGGTACACTTTAGGTATACAATACAGTTACATTCATCACTGGGGTCTCGTACCTCTACGTGACTAATCTTGGTTCTTACTTTTCCATATTCCCCAGCCCTCCCTTCACCCACTCCACCCTTCCCTGTTTACAAAGACATTGTTTCCATGTTTTTCCTTTTCACGTATTTTTTTCTTTTCCCTTTTTACTTTTCCCCTACCCCTCCCACTTCCTGTACTCTTTTAGACTTTTTTTCCTATTACACAGTATCATTTCATTTATACATTCTGATCCTTATTTACACCTTCAGTTTTTTTACACCAGAGAAACTATTTTGTATTTACACTTGTATGTCTTATTAATTTCACTTAAGAGTATGGCCTCAATGTGCATCCACTTAGCTATAAATATCTCTGATTTCTCATTCTTTATGTCTGAGTAGTACTCCATTTTATAAAAACCCACATCTTCTTTATCCAGTCTCCAGTTGATGGGCAATTGGGCTGTTTCCAAATTTTAGCTGTTACAAAGTGTGCCACTATAAACATGGGTGTACATATATCGCTGTGGTATGATTCTTTTAATTCTTTTGGGAAGATACCCAGCAGAGGAATAGCTGGGTCAAATGGGACTGCAATCCTAGTTGTTGGAGGATCTCCATATTGATTTCCAGAGTGCATACTGGTCTGCACCTCCACCCAGCAGTGAAGGGTTCCTATCTCCCCATAACCCCACCAGCATTTGTTATTGGTTGATTTCTTGATAGCAGCCATTCTTGCTGGGATGAGGTAGAATCTCAGTGTTGTTTTCATCTGCATCTCTCCAATGACCAGTGACGTTGAGCATTTTTTCATATGTTTATTTGCTGTTTTTACTTATCTGTCTGAGAAATGTCTATTTCAGATGCCCACTTTTGAATCAGGGTCTTTATATTTGGGGAGGTCTTTTTTATTTTTTATATTGAGACAAGGTCTCCCTAAGTTGCCCAGGCTGAGTTCAAAGTTACGATCCTTCTGCCTCAGCCTCCCAGAGCTCTTGGAGTACAGGTGTGCACCACCATGCTCAGCTCCCAATAGCATATTATATGGAAAATTTTTGTGTATAGTGTCACAGTTGTCCCCTCTCTGATGGGGCTGAGTGTGAAGTCAAGCAGTGGATAGCCACTTCTCCAGGTCACAGGAATCAAAGTTTCTTGGGAGTGACCAGCTGCTCTTGTCACTGGAGGCGCTAAGTGGTGTCTCCTATACTTAGGCCTCATGCTTCCTCTCCTTCAGGTATATGAGCTGCCCTTCTTAGTGGCTCTGGATCACAGGAAGGAGTCTGTGGTGGTTGCTGTGAGAGGGACCATGTCTCTGCAGGTAATATGGGAGCTGGTGTGGGAGCAGGAGCAGAGATGAGCAGGCCATGGGGCAGAGAAGGGAAGACATTCATAGCCTGCAGCATAGCGCCCAGAGGGAAACACAGAGAGTAGGAAGGCAGAAGTGAGCCCAGAGTTGGGAAACGTCCGATCTGCAAAATCGGAGGAACTTGTTCCTTACTCACTGACCAGTGTCGGGCCCAGAGGCCAGCAGGTTCTACCTTGAAGCCAGATGCCAGGCTCCCCTCCTGCTGATTTCCCTGAACAGGTGACCCTCCCCAAAGCCCAGTGGAGTAGCACATTCAGTTTGGCTATGGATTGTCATGGCTGTTTGCCAAGTTCCTGTCCCAGGTCCTGGCCACCCCACCCTTCTGCTAGTCAGGGAGGAGCAGTGGACCCTTTTGTCTCTCTGCAGCTGGTTACCCAACTCCTTCTTGTTCCCCATCCCTGACTTCTCAGCCTCCTGGAGACCCCACATGATGCTGTGCCTTCTTTGGCTCTGTACGGTGGGTCCTTCCTGGCTGCTTGCTCACTTCCTCATACTTCTCTGCTGACCCAGAACATGTCATGGGGCTCTACCTTTTGTGGCCTACACCTTGTCCTTCGGACCATTTCTGGGGTGGCTTCCGCCTCAAGACCCCATCCCTGCATCTTCCACAGCCTTCTGGGTCTCCCTCCCAGGTCTGCTCCTCCCTGAGGCCTGCTGATCCTACTCATTCCACCAGCATTCCCAAGGTGCCTGCTAAAGGGACAGTGACACTGTCGTTACTTTCTGTGTTCGCTCACACCCAGTCCATCACACGAGGGCTCTCTGGCCACATGCTCAGTGCCCAGCACCATGGCCTGCTTGCTGCCTAGACCCCTTCCTATGCCAGGCTCTCATCCTCCTGGCTGTACCTTAGCTGTCTTAGGGCTTAGGTCTTCTCAGACTCTCCACTACTTTTCACTTTCTTATTTGGCAGTACTGGGGCTTGAACCAAGGGTCTTTACACTAAACTACATACCCAGCCCTTTATTCATTTTTTTATTTTGAGATAGGGTCTGGCTAAGTTGCCCAGGCTTGGCTCAAACTTGGAATCCTCCTGCTTTAGCCTCCAGAGTAGCTGGGAGCACAGACTTGCACCGGCACATCCAGTTGAAATCTGTTCCTCACTGCAGCCTTGTGGGCACTTTATCACGTGACCTTTTGCCTTTCTAGGTCCTACTCTGCACACAGTGCCCTCCATGCCAATCCCCTGGGGGGTTCTAAATAGTGCCTCCCACTTGGGGCCTCCTGAGACCCCAGGCTACCCTTGTACTTGGCTCACTGCTGCCTCAGCCGGCTCTGCCCAGCACCACCCTTGGAAGGCTGCCACTCTCTGGCCTTATCAGCCTTGTCCCACAGGTCCCCTCTGCACATGGCCATGGGCTCTGAGGATGCCCCACGCGGGTCTTCCACAGCAGGGAGGTGGAGCTATGTCACAGGCACCCCTGCCACATGCTTGCCCACCCCCAAGCTTGTAGTACCTTTTTCACAGCCCTCAGAGCTCCATGCCTGGCCTCATTTCTTGTGGGTCATCAGGTGTCACTGCTGCCCACAAAGCAGGCCTGGGAGCAGTGTGCCAAGAGGCGCAGAGCCTGCGCTTCCACCCCAGCTTATGCCTTTTGTGCCCTTGGCCCCTTTGTAGGACATCCTCACTGACCTGTCTGCCGAGAGTGAGAGCCTCCACCTGGACACCGACCTTCAGGACTGTGTGGCGCACAAGGTATTCCGGGCAGAGGGGCTGCTGTCGCCATGAGGATGGTTGTTGTTATCATGCAGCTTTTCACAGCAGTCCTGGGGAATGGGATATGGGTTTGAGAGTCACCCACCTGAGGCTACCTGGGAACTGAGTAACTAGCTTGGGCATTGGAGCCAGGCTGTGGCTTTTATTTCCTCTTCATTAAATAAAATGAACTTCAGTACAAGCCAGGCATTGTGACACACACATGTAATTCCAGCCCTCTGGGAGGCTGAGACAGGGAGATGAGAAGTTCAGGTCCAGCCTGGGTAATTTAGTGATTTTGTGAGACTGTCTCAAAAAATGTAAAGGGCTGGGGATGTGGCTCAGTGTGAAGGTCCAGGGTTCAATGCTCAGTACCCCAAAAGAAAAGCTCTGGTGTAATACAGCACGACGTAGCAGCTGTTCCAGCCTGGAGGCAGGCACACCCTTAGTGTTGTGTGCTTCTCACCCACCTCTATGGATGTGGCCAGGGCCCAGGGTCCCAGTGTCACTCTTACTGGGTGTGAACTCCTGCCTGGCACAGCTGGGGCAAGGGTAGGGGTTGAAGTTTTATTAAGATGGTGATAAATAATAAGATCATTGGGCTGTAAACAGTATCCCGTTCAGGACTGTTAAACACTGTCTGCCCACCACTTTCATCTATGCGCAGGATTTTTATCACTGCCAGCATGAGCTCTGTTCCTGATAAATACCTGCTGTCCTTCTCCAGCCCCAAGTTTGCCTATTCTGTTGACTTCACAGACGCATTCTGTCTGTCTGTGACTGGAGTGGTATTTTCAGGGTCCAGCGTGTTGAATCAGTTTCCTTCCTGCTGGAGGGTGACGAGTGTGGTTCTGCTTCACCGCCCCTGCCGTTCAACGCCTGCTGGGCACTCAGGTTGTGTCCACCTCTGGTGCTCTAGGCCATTGTGAGCATGGGCGTACAGATGTCCATTCCAGTTCCTCCTTTCTCTTCTTTGGATTGTGGACCTTGGAGTGGAGTTGCTGACTCACACAGAAATTCTATGTTTAGCTTGAGGAACCATCAGACCGATTTCCACAGGGCCACACTATCGTCCCACTTCTGCATACCCGCCAGCAGCAGCTGAGAATTCTAGTTTCTGCATCCTTGTCAACACTTAGTGTTTTCCATTCTTGCCATCACTGGAGTGCCTTGCTCTCTGTGGTTTTAACCTACACTTCCCTGGGGACCAGGATGCTGCCCGGCAGTTTTTGAATAGTGAAGGAGTCTGGAGTGATTGCCTCCCAGAGGTTCCAGTGGCTGCCCCAGGGAGAAGGCCTCAGGCTTTTGGAGCAGAGGGCAGTGGCTTGCCTTGGGTTTTGTATGCCTCATGTAGTTTTTTGTTTGTTTGTTTTTGTTTTTTGGAGATAGGGTCTCACTATATAGTTCAGGTTGGCCTTGAACTCACTATGTACCCAGGCTAGCCCCAAACTGGCAATCCTCCTGCCTCTGCCCCCCAAGTGCTGGGATTATAGGTGTGTGCCACCACGCCCAGCTTGCCTCCTATGTTTTTATGACCAAAAGAAGTGTTACTTCTGTAATAGTCTTAAATTTTTTATTTTTGTGGTGCTGAGGGTTGAACCCAGGCCCTCAAACATGCTAGGCAGGCAGACCCTCTACCTCTGAGCTACACCTTAGCCCTTTTCATTTTTTATTTTGAGCCTGGGTCTTTACTAAGTTGGTCAGGCTGAGCTCAAACTTGGGTTCTTCCAAAGTAGTTGCAATAACAGGAATGGGCCACTACACTGGCCCAAAGTATTATTTAAAAAGTGCTACAGCTAGGGCTGGGGATTTAGCTCAGTGGCACCATGCCTACCTTGCAAGCACAAGGCCCTGAGTTCAATCCTCGGTACCAAAAAAAAAAGTTGAGAGAAAGAGTCTCTCTGTCTGGGGGTAACTGAACTGGAGTGAGGGTCTCTGCTGTAACCAGTTAGAAGCTTGACAGTGCTAGGAATGAACCTCCGCCCCGTGTTGGGGATCAGACCGGGGCCTTCAGTGTGCTAGCCAAGTGCTCTGCCTAAGCTACTCCCCCAGCAGGATTTCCTTTTATTTTTCTTGGTACCAGGAATTGAACTCAGGACCTGTGCTTGCAAGGTAGGCATGGCACCACTAAGCTAAGGATTTCTTTAAACTTTAGCTGCCTTTTTGTTCAATTCACAGAAGACCCCAGTTCAGCTGTGTTTGGGGAGGGGAGCGGGCAGAGAGAGAGAGAGAGGGAGAGAGAGAGAGAGGGAGGGAGAGAGAGAGAGTGTGAGAGTGAGCGCAAGCATGAGCGAGACAGCATGAGTGAGCATGCGACCATCCAACCAGTTCTGATAGGAAAGGGCTTTCTGTGGCCATGAGCTGTGGCCTTCCTGGAGCCAAACACCGGTGTTCCTGGTGACTGCTTGTTCATCGGGCTGGGAAGGCAGCTGCTCAAGGCCTGTTCTCAGCTCTTAGCTCTAATGCTGTCTGAGCAGCCAGAAGCCCCCTTGGCATTCCCCAGTGAATACAAGTACTAGGGTGGCTGTCGGTGGCTGGGGCAGGTTCTGCCTGGCTTCTGAGTGCACAGGTCCCTAAGAAATGTGACTGTTGCACTTGCAGGACAGTGAAAGGAAGTTAGGTGTTTGTCAGAAGTGTTGTGCAGACAGGCACAGAATGCTAGCCCTTCCTTTGGTGTTCTGTCTCATGGTGCCAGGTTCAGTATTCTGCTGTCGGATTATCAAAATACTGAATCTTGGGCTAGGGATTTAGCTCAGTGGTTCTTCTACCTGCCTTTAAGCGCAACCTTTAAGCACAAGGTCCTGAGTTATTTCCCTGGTACCAAAAAAATAATGAATCTTAGGAGATTTTGCTTGTTTTTGTAGTACTGGGGATTGAACTCAGGGACACTCTACTATGAAGCTATAACCCCATCCCTTTTAAAATTTTTTTCTTTCCAGATAGGGTCTTGCTAAATTGCCCAGGCTGATCTTGAAATTGGGATCCTCCTACCTCAGTAGCTGGGATTACTGGCATGCACCATTGTGCTCAGCTGCACTGTTTGAGATAATTAACAGTCTCTTATGTTATACCGGATCCCTTCTACCTCCTGTTTTAGAATATAAGCCACAAGGGGATGTGATCAGGCCTGGGAATTGGCTGCAGAGCCATTGTGAAGAGATGTCCTAGAGGGAGTTTTGATTGACAGGGTTGGGTTGTCTCTGTTGGAGCTACTTGCTTTTCAAGGAGCCCATGACTTAGGATAGCTGTATTCATTTATGTAGAAGTTTTAAATTTTATTTTTTGAAATCACCAAAACCTAGTCTCCCTAAAATGTTTCTTGTTTTTTGTTTTTATACCAGAGATTGAACTCAGTAAAATTTACTTCTGATGGACTCGTTTTGCTTTTGGGGGTCTGTAGTAGATGCCTGGTCGGTGTCTTTGATTTAGGACTGCACACTCTTACATTGTTTAGAAAGATTGGTCTTGTGTGCCCTGAGCCTGAGGAGCCACCTATCTATGCATGGACTGTGACGAGAGATGCAGAAGGGGATCTGCCGATAGGGTGGAATTGTCCCTGGTGTCACCCGCTCATTGATGAATGTTGTGAGCACCTGCTTTGTGCCAGTATCTGGGCCTGGAGCAGGAAAGCAGCTGCACAGCAGGGCTGCTGACCCAGGTGGTGCCCTGTCTGGGAGTGGGTTGGAGTCACACAGAAGCGTGTGTGTGCCTGCTCTATCTGCTGAGCTCTGCTGAGCCACCTGCCTTCCTTCCTGTGTTTTAGGGGATTTCTCAGGCCGCGAGATATGTTTACCGACGACTGGTCAACGATGGGATTCTGAGCCAGGCTTTCAGCATTGCTCCTGTGAGATTGCCTTTCATTTTATTTCCTTGTCTTGTTACTGGCCATCATTATTGTTAGCTTGGAGCCCACTCTGTTCTTTGTTCCCCAGGAGTACCGGCTGGTTGTGGTAGGGCACAGCCTGGGAGCAGGGGCAGCCGCTCTGCTGGCCATCATGCTGCGTAGCTCCTACCCACAGGTCCAGGCCTACACCTTCTCCCCACCCCGGGGGCTCTTAAGGTAAAACCTTTTGTTCCTGCATGGAACCAGGTACTGCTCACAAGCCATGCGGCCCACTGGTCTTTCATTTGTAGTTTAATTATAATATCTCATTTTCAGGAATTCACATTTTGAAGCACTGTTTAGTTGAAGACTGTGTATAGCCTTCCTTAGATTGCTCTGACCATTGCTTTAATTTCCTAAATGATGTAATGCTAAGGTTTTTGTTTGTTTTGCAGTACGAGGGATTGAATCCAGGGCCTTCACACTAAGTTACATCTCCAGGCCTTTATTTTTTATTTTGAGATAGGATCTAAGTTTCCCGATAAGACTCAAATGTGGGATCCTCCTGCCTCAGCCTCCCATAGTGCTGGGATTACAGATGTGTACCATTACACCTAGCTAAGATTCGTTTTTTAATAAATTTTACTTTTTAAGTTCAGAGCTGAATTCAACTGAAGGTAAAAGAGAATTCCCATATGCTACTTGCCCTGTGTATCCACTGCTACCACCCATGGCAAAACTGAACCTGCATTGACACGTGGCTACCACTTAGAGTCAGAGCTTATATCAGAGTTTACTCTTGGTGGGTTTGTACAAATGTTTAATGGCTTTTTTATGAGTTTGAAAAGTATGCGTGTTGTTTTTTTTTTTGGTACCGGGAATTGAACTCAGGTCCTTGTGCTTGCGAGGCAGGCAGTGGAACCACTAAGCTAAATTCCCCCGCCCTGCATGTTTTTGATTCAACATATTGTTCTGTGTGACCTTCTTCCCTGATTTTAAAAAATTGTACCACAGTAAAAAAAAAAAAAAAAGGAAGGAAATTAAGAATCAAAAAATAAGAGGAAGGGCCCAGGGATTTAGCTCAGTGGTGCTACTACTGCCTGCCTCACAGGGGCAAGGTCCCAAGTTCAATCCCTGGTACCAAAGAAACACACTTTGGGGCCAGGGATTCAGCTCAGTGGTGCTGCCACCTGCCTTGCAAGGTCCCGAGTACCAAAAAATAAAAATAAGAGGAACTGGGCATGGTGACACATGCTTATAATCCTAGCACTTGGGAGACTGAGGCAGGAGGGTTACAAGTTTAAGGACAGCAATTTAGTGAGACCTTGTCTCTTAAAAATAAAAAATAAAAAAGGGATGGGGATACAGCTAGTGGTAGAGCACTTGCCTATCATGTATGAAACCCTGGGTTTAATCCCCAGCACTCACACACCCCCAAAAAAACACTTTTTCCATTTTTGGTGATTTATTTACCTTTTTTTGTTTTCACGTAAGTAAATAGGTGTGTATGTGTCTGTATTCTCCCCCGCTCCCGTGTCCCTCTCTCTCTGTATCTCTCTCTCTCTCTCCTCTTTTCTCTTCTCTTCTCTGCTCTCTTCTCTTCTCTTCTCTTCTCTTCTCTTCTCTTCTCTTGTTTGTATTCTTCTGCCTATCTTACTGTTGCTTTTGCCTATGACAGTACACAAGAACAGTACAGAGAATTCTGACTCTGTCCAGTGCTTCACTGGGCAGTTACAGGCTGAACCCTGGATGCTGGGGTGTGTCCAGCTTCTGCTCACACACTGCAAATGGTCTTTGCTTCTGTTTGCATGTGTTCTTGCATCCTGGGCAGATTCTGCCGGCAGGGCTGCTGGGCCAGCAGGTAGATGCCAAGTGTATGATCTGCGTCTGGTCCAGTTGATGTGTTAACTGTGGAGTCTACAGAGTGTCTGTTGCGGCTTTGTAGAATCTGACCAGTGAGTTGCTCTGGCTGAAATCTCTGCCGTTTCTTCTCCCCAGAAGGGGTAGGGAACAGTGATGCCAATGTCCCACAGACCTTGGAGCATTTTTTGATTCCCTGCAGACTCACTTAATTTTTCTTGTTTGGAATTTCAGCAAATCTCTGCATGAGTACTCCAAGGACTTCATCGTGTCACTTGTCCTAGGAAAGGATGTGATTCCCAGGTCAGTCTGTCGGGTAGTGATTCGGGGTTTGGGGCTTTTGAGCATACCAAGTACTGAGCGTGATCTGATTTTTTTGCTGAACAGGTTAAGTGTGACCAACATGGAAGATCTGAAGAAAAGAATCTTGAGAGTGATCACCCACTGTAATAAGCCAAAGGTAATCTGGGTGCCTGTGTTCATAGCATCATCTGCAGGAAGAGACTGTGTGGAGAGTTGAGCTTGTGAATTCAGCCTCTTGACTCAGCACATATATGCTGTTGCTGGAAGTTCTTCTAGCCTCGGAACAGATTTTCTAAGACTCCTGAGTGATGTGTGAGAGCCAAAGGCCAAAGCCATAAAGTGCCACAATTAGGACAGACTACCACCATTCCTGTTCATTTACATGATCTGCCTCTGTTGGACCTTAGTCCTGTCTTGTGACTGACAGTGTTCTGATTGCCCTTGGTTATACTGTCCCCAAGATCAGAACATAAAGCCATCAAATACAGATTGTAGGGTCGGGGATTTAGCTAAGTGGTTCTGCCACCTTCCTTGCAAGTACAAGGACCTGAATTCGATCCCCAGTACCAAAAAAATAAATAAATACAGATTATAAGAAGTGCTAATAGGCTAGGCGTGGTGGCGCACACCTGTAATCCCAGCACTTGGGAGGCTGAGGCAGGAGGATCACTGTGAGTTCGAGACCAGCCTGGGCTACATAGTGAGTTCCAGGTCAGTCTCAACTACATAGTGAGACCCTGTCTCAAAAAACAAACAAACAAAAAAGAAGTGCTAGTATATCCACACTGGATCTAATGGTTGTTAAGAGTGGCCAGTGGCCTGAAGTGTAGCTTAGTGTAGAGTGCTTGTCTAGCATGCATAAGGACTTGGTTTTCTCCCTGGGCTACATAGCAAGACCGTGTCAAAACTCTTAATAACAACAATTTTAAAAGGTAGGAGGAGATATAACTTCATGGTAAGAGTGGTTGCCTAGCACGTATGAGGCCCTGGGTTTAATCCTAGGTGCCACAAAGATGTAAGCAAGTAGGCTTAAAAATGGTCCTTGAAAATATGAGCCCAGGCAGGAGGGACAAGGAGATACAGGTATGTATGGATGGATGGATATACAATGTGTCTTGACAAAAATCCTGCAAACATGTGTATCAGAATGTGGTTTTATTTGGATAATGGGATGACCAGTTACTTTCACTTCTTTAGCCTGTTATCTGAGTTGTTTTTGTTGCTGATCAGCCATCCTCCAGAACTCCTTAAAAAGCAGTGTTTGGCAGCTGGGGATGTAGCTCAGTGGCAGAGAGTGCTTGTTTGATTCCTCTGTACCTCCCTCCCCCCAAAAGAAAAAGACAGTACTTGGTTTCTAATGTCCCTAATGGCAAATAAAACTGATTTTTAAGGGCTGCGATTTAGCACAGTGGTTCTGGCGCCTGCCTCACAATCGCAAGGACCCAAGTTCAATCCCCAGTACCAAAAAAACAAACAAGCCAAAAAAAACACCTGATTTTTAAAATTGCCTACAAAGAATTAGAGTAGGATTTAGCGCAGTGGTTCCGCTGCCTGCCTTGCAAGCACAAGGACCTGAGTTCAATCCCCCATACCAAAAAAAAGAATTAGGGTAATTTGGGGTGGGGATGTAGCTCCGTGGTAGTTTGCCTAACATGTGCAAGGCCTTGGGTTCTATCTGTAGCACCACAATGCACAGTAATTAAGTTTTCATCAAACTATGCACATTAGTTTTTAAATATGGCTGTAAGTATAATGGCCTCATCTCCAAGAGGCATCACTCACTTGTGATCCCGTTTGTGGTGGGAGCATGACTGAAGTCCTGAGAGTATGCCACCTAGCACAGTCCCGCCCAAGATCCTGCAGTAAAGCAGGCCTTCCCGAAGACCAACATACTGTTGTCTGTTGTCTTGCTCTCACCTGCAGTACAAGATATTGCTTCAAGGCTGCTGGTATGAACTGTTCGGAGGAAGCCCTGATAATTTTCCCACTGAACTGGACGGAAGCGACCAGGGACAACTGACACAGCCTCTTCTAGGAGAGCATAGTCTGCTGACACACTGGTCGCCGGCATATAGCTTCTCCAGTGACTCCCCACTGGACTCTCCCACCAAGTACCCACCTCTGTACCCTCCTGGCAGGATCATCCACCTGGAGGAAGAAGGAGCTTCTGGGAGGTGAGTGCAAGGGCTTATGGGCTCCAGGGCCTCGGGTGGCCACCAGGGAAAAGCTGAGTGCCTGCCAAGCTTTATTAGGTGCTCTTCTCTTTTCTGTTGAAGGTTTGACTGCTGTTCGGCTGCTCAGTACAGGGCAAGGTGGGCACGTGAAGGGGAATTCAGCAGAATACTCATAGGCCCAAAGATGCTGACTGACCACATGCCAGACATCCTAATGAGAGCCCTGGACAGCGTGGTCGCCGACAGAACAGCCTGTCTCTCTTGTCCAGGGCAAGGGACATCTAATGTGGATGTGGCATGACCAGGCCTACTGGAAACTGCCCCAGAACAGTGCACACACATTTGCTCTTGACTATGTGACTTCCATGAGGCCAGTACCTGGATGTCTATGGACCACAATCTGACTGGACTTCAATTGAGTGGGCTTTGAAATGACTGCAATAAATGGGAGCTACTTTTGATCACAGTATGAACAGGATCAGGAACCTAGGAGAGCACCAAGGCATGATTCCTTCCCCGCAACGGCCACTTTAGAGCTGCCTCGGAAGAGAATGAAGTGTCTGAAGACCCTAAAGTGACCTGTAGTCTCCCATCAGGGTGTGATGGCAGGTGTGTGGTTTACTTGGGAGACCACACCCCGCTCCTCTGGCTCCCTGGTTACTGTCCAGATGTTTGAAACCATGAAGAATTGAATACTAATTCTTGTGCGTCATTCCGCCTCTGGGGCCTGCCAGTGGGTTGAGTTTTAAAAAAAAAATAAAGTATTTCTACCTTGAGAGCGAGTGTTTGCACAGTAATGTTTCGGGTTAAGTGGGTCCCTTTACTGGGTGGTTTCACAGCAATTATTTGTTTTCTCTTTGTACTGAACAACAAAAATGAAGTCTGGTGTTCTGGCTAAAGACTTAAGATTACATAAGTATTAGAATTACCTACCAGTTTCCTAAATAAAATGAGTTGAAGATTCCTGTCAAAAAGGTGGCTTAGGAATGAATCCCAAAGGAGAAGGAAAGCCAGGAGCTCCAGAACTCACCACAGGACAGAGAGGCCTGCTGGGAAAAATCAGGCCCTCCGCTCTGGCTGAAGGGTGGAGACTAGACACCAGCAATGGAAAGGGGAGGGAATGATCGTCCTCAGAACACCGTCCCCCTCCTCCTGCAACCTTCTGGGAGAAGTCTCCGGGAAAATCTGACCTTAGGAAGCCCTGCTTGGAGCCCTCAGCTGCAGAGGCTACCCCTCCTCAGAGCTTTGGAAAATCTGCAGAAGGCCATTTTTAAAAACTTCAGTTATATCATGGTACAGCCCAGCCCTGCTCCTCCCTAGGGGCAGAAAGGTAAGGCAGCTTGCACTAGAGTTGCCACCCAGTGTGCTCTGTTTCCAACCAACCCAAAGCACAAGCCAAAGAGCACCAGACATCTGAGGGACAGGAGACTGAAAGTAACAGTGCAGGCAGCTGATCCAAACAACTCCAACTCCAGCTGCAGCTGGGGACTAAAGTGCTGCAACAATGGAATTGACCCAGAAAACTTAAGAGCAGGCATTTAGAGGGTGAGCAAGAACACTGGAAAATTCAAAGTGGAAATTAAAGGAAGCTTTATAGAAAAGGTAATAGTTCTAGAACAGAAAACTGAAATAGGTGTTTCCAAATGAACAGAGCCCACCAAGCACAGGGCCTAATAAACCATAGGATAAGACAAAGGAATTCTCACTGTATCTATAATAGTATAGCCCAAGGCCGGGGATTTAGCTCTGGTTCCCCTGCCTGCCTCAAGTGCAAGGACCCAAGTTCAATCCATATATAAAATATAGCATATATTACATAATATATATATATTGATATCCCAATGTAATGGAAATAGGGGAAAAAATGTAAGGACTGGCTATCACTAACCTAGAATTGTAGACCGGGCCCAAAGTAGAATATCACAGTAGAATGGCTATTTTTCAAAGATGCAAGGGCTCAACAATACATACTTTGTCAGGAAGCTCTTGGAGAAGCTATTCATTAGGATGAAAAAATAAAAGATGAAACTGAGTGAGATACAGGAAAAGAATGAGGTGGTCAGATGAATGAAACTTAGGAGAAATATAATACATCTTGAGTGATTAAACAGATGCAAGTTCACAGCTGAATTATTTAGCACAGAAAACTAAGCACTAATTAGGAAAGGCAAAGGTCAACAGCTGTTACTAGTGAGAAGACTAAAAGCAGCTTACTAAGCAGATTATTAGCAGGTAATGATCACGCAGTAAATCATGGTACTGAGAATGGGAAAGATCTCAGATAGAGAAGGTCTTTCACTTTCCATGACAGGAATGTGAACAGCAAAGGCTAAATCTGAGGTTGTTAGCAGGAAAAGCAGGTAATTTATAGACACATGGAGTAAATATCAAAAACTACAGCAGAATATTGCCTCTGGCAAGGGTACAAAGGGTTAAGACAAACGTTGTGTTATGTTTTTAATGGTGTTTGGTACCCTACTGCTGACCTATACATCCCCAGCTCCTATAAATTTGAGAACAGTTTGTGCTTTTAAGCTCTTTATTTAGCTCTGGTTAAAAAAAAAAAAAAAATACAAGAGCCTTCAACGAAAACTGATTCTAACCCATAAACCTTATGGTCTAAGTTCAGGCTTTGGCAAAAATCCTGTTTATGTAGTCCATCCACCCCACTTTCACAAGCTATGCCCCTCTCAGCACTGGCACCCTCAGCCTTGAGCTCGGGCCCACAACGTACACACATGCATATGTCTGCCCCCACATGGGTTCTCTGCATAGCATTATCTCCAACAATTCAACAGACCCCAACACAAACCCCACCTGCCACCCCCACTGTGCTCTTCTGCTGTGGACTCGCCCACCTCCTCCCCTGGAGGTGGCACTCCCTCTGTACCTCAGTGTGGAATGAACACATCCAGCAACCCTGGGTTTTAAAGTGACACACACCAAGAGCTTGTTCATCAAGTTCTCAAAAATTCAAGTATTACCAGTCATATGATTCAAGAATTTATTAAGTCATACATGCAAAACATACTGCTAATTGCATTAGCAAAAGATCAATGTAAAAACACTCCACAATTCTGTAACTGTCAATTAAAAAAATTTTGTTCTAGTGGTTGAAAGGTCTGACATTTTTGTCCTCGCCAGTGAGTTAAAGTTGTACAGAACATCATTAGCACTAGCAGTTTACAGAACCTCATAGACCCAAAGGAGCATCATTAGGCAAAGCCACAACAGGAAGCGTGTGTCTGTGTGAGTGAGGTAAAGAGGGTTGAGTCAGTGTTAGTCACGTGATAGTGTTGGTAATCTGGCAAGACAGTGATGTTAAGAAGGTTCATAGTTTTAAGAATATCTAAAATATTTTAAAAACTGTAAAGCAGCAACATGATTTTTACACCTAGTTACTAGAAGACTAAGGAAAGCAATTAGCTTTGAATAAAGTAACATGAAAACAGGAATGCACTTTTACTGATCTACAAAAAAACTTCTAATGCATTATCAGAAAGATTTTATAGTACAAATAGGCATATTTGCTCATTAAGAAGGGATTCTATTAGAAAAGCACTTACTAGGTTAGCAACTATGGGAATGACCAGTTCAAATATGAAATGCCCAATTTTGGAAAGATGGCAAGTATCGGAAAAAGAAAAAGCTTAAGACACACTGATAATACCAACCTTTCTTCATCATCTACTGCACTTGACAGAAATTAACCTTTAACATCTTCACCTGTGACACTTTTTCAGTTAAGTTATTCCATGTACAATATAGTGTAAATTAATCTCTTCATATTTTGTCAAAATACTGTCTTCTTCCTTTGATCTTGTCATGTTTCACACACTCCACCCAGCACACCCATAATTAGGAACAGAATACTTCATTAGAACAAATACGAGAATCAGAGCTCTGTTCCAGAGGACAGGGATTTAGCTCAGTGACATCATGCCTCCTTGCAAGCACAAGGTCCTGAGTTTAATCCCTGGTACCAAAAAGAAAAAAAAAAAAGTAAAAAAATTAAAAACGTTCTGTTCCAAGTCTCAGCAAAAGCTAGTAAACTGATTTAAAAAAAAAAGAAAATCCTCACTACGAAATCAAAAAGACTAATCCAAAGAGAGCTGTTACACCCATCCCATTATGACATACAGTACAGAGGTACAGAATGAACATGGGCTGAGAAGTTACTGACGAGTTATACAGCAACATGTCATTAAGAAGGCTGTTCTGCTTCACTCGATCTGAAAGCTACTTGGACAGTGTCTACACCTCCTGATTTCAGAAGCTGCAGTCTTCTTACAAAGGTCTTTCAAGAGTTTATGCTTAGTGTTCTAGCACAACACCACAACTTAGTTCAGAAGGTATTTTGGCAACTTTTAATCTGAGCAAGGATAGGGGCTTTTGAAAAATAAGGCTTTCAGAAGGCTTGTCGTTTTAGGGTTACATTTTAATATAATGTGAGTTTGAACTCTTACATTTAAAACAAAACCTTAAAATTACTGATTGATTCAAAATGGTTTTATGGAAAAATTAATCTGTAACAAAAACTTGGCATTGAGTGCGAAGGCTCCACCGTTTTTTTTTGTTTGTTTTGTTTTGTTTTGTTTTTTTTGAGCAAAGCGTACAAAGGTTCCAAGGGACAGGAAGGACCAAGAACTCAAGACTCGGACATTTACAACAGCAGGCATTTTCTCTTCCTCTTCTTGACAGGAGGTGGGCAGAGAACTGCTCGGATAGCTTCATCAAACACTGTCTTGAGGCCCCGTTGGGTGAGAGCTGAGCACTCCAGGTATTTCACAGCACCTGTAAGAAACACAGACACATGATAGTGTACCACAGGACATGACTTCTAAGCAGCACAGCAGTGAGGCGGTAGCTCATCTAGGACCAGGCCAGGCATGCTGTGGCAAGGCCAACTCCCACCCCTACACTGCTCCACAGTAACCCCAAGACCCAGATGGCCTTGTTCAGCTGCCTCCAGAAAGGTAAACCAGACCCTGAGAAGGAGAAAATACCCTGCTTTCCCAAACTGCAGTCTCATCTATCAAAAGAATAAAAGCAGGCCCAAGAAAGGCAGAATTTCATACCAATCTCCTTAGCCATGGCCAAACCCTGCGGATAGGTGATGGGAGTCAGCTTCTTCTCCTTCAGTTTCTCGATCGTGTCTTTATCATCCCTAAGATCAAGTTTTGTTCCCACTAGGATAATGGGAGTGTTGGGACAATGGTGTCGCACTTCCGGATACCACTGTATATGAAGAAAGAACAAAGGCTATGCTACTCTCCTCCTTTACAGATGACCTTCACCAAGACCACATACAACAGATGCCCAACTCTGCCAAGCAACCCAGCTCAGCCACCACTGCTCTGGAGCCTCCTTGTACTTTACAGCTTTCCCACAATCCCTAAAGAGCCCAAAGAAAGATCCAGCCAGGACACCCCAGATTTAGGACCTAGAGAACAGACATGGCATGTCAAGGGACTGGAGGAAGAAAAGGGGACAGCAGAAAGGAGAAAAAGGAAGGTACCCTAAAAGGAAAGCACTTTGTTTTTAGGGAAACAAGTCAATTTTAGAGCCATCCAAAAAAAAAAAAAAAAAAAAAAATCACCATCTCTTCAGAGATGAGAATACGCAAACTACCCAGGGGAGTGCACATCTCTGCCATTGTCCTCACTGAAAATACTCCTTCCTGATTGCTATAAGAAAAGTTTCTCTCACTTGGTAAAAGTTGTCAGAGCAGAAAGAAATGGTGTTAGCACAACTCCAAAGTTCTGCTACTTTACTGAGACTCCCATCTTCTGAATAATACCTAAAGCTTTAAGAAACCTGTACCATAGAGTCATATGCCTCAAAACTGATGATGTGCCCAAGAGCTAATCTAAGTAATGAAAATTCCTAACAGTAAATGATATTTTACTTTTTAAATACTATTCTTCTCAAAAGTGATATTTGTAATTTAAAAAATTTTTGTGGTGCTGGGGCTCAAGCCCAGGGCCTCTACCACTGAGCTACATAACCATCCCTCTAGCAATTTATTTCAAAAAAAACCCGAAAAACAAAACACCCACTTACCTTTGCACGGACATTTTCAAATGATGCAGGACTTACAAGGGAAAAGCAAATTAAGAACACATCCTATAAAAAGGAAACACACGTAAACATTCAGAAACAATCTTAAAATGATGACTGCACTTTGCTTTCAAAATGCTGCTAAGCTAATCATGGGACGTGTGTGTGCCTACTGGTCCCAGCAGCTGAGGTCAGACACCTGCTCTGCTCCCTGTGCACCCCTATAATCTGTTAGCTCCAAAACCAGAACCAGCACATCAAGCAACTAATGACTTGGGAGGAGAAAGGGAGAGGTAAAGGTAGAAATATGCCAGCCAAGCTAGACCCATGGGAGACCTTCTCCACCACTCCCAACTTTTTTTTTTTTCTTTCCGGTACCAGGGATCAAATTCCAGACCTTGCGGTTGCAAGGCAGGTGAGAGAACCATTAAGCTAAATTCCTGGCCCTCCTAACTCTTGATTGGGCATCTAATTATATTATAAAGACAAAAAATTAGGATGGAACTACACCAAATGTGGTTTGTTTCCCCAAAACAGTCAATATAAAAAAATTATTTACAAAAGTATGCTTTTATTAAGCTCTCCATTTGCATGTGAAGTATAAACATTTTTAGATCATCACTGACTCCAATTAACAGCTTATCACACACAGTCCCTGGCATAGTTGCTGCCTGGGCACTTTCCTCCATGGAGAAGGATGTTTCAGAAGTGACATCCTTCCTGCTGACAACCACCCTCACAATGTCACAGCTTCTCAGGCTCAACCTGGGGCTCAGGAGAAGGCCCCAAGGGAACTGTCACTAAAGTAGAGATGGAAAGAAAAAGCAGTATAGAATACATACTTGGACAGTGTTTCTAGATAAATATGCAATATTTTGAGTTTTTCTTCCCACTGGGCATTGTGCATAAAATTCAAATATTTACCTTTATAAAAAATGCTCTAGAGTTTCTAAAATGCTAGGCTTATAAAATATCCCTAGAAAAAGGCAATTATGCTACTTTGTGAAATGCATACAATTCCCAAGCTAGCAGTTTAAACCATCCAGCTGGTTATCTTGCACCTGAAAAGGAAAGAAACATCCCACAACAGCTTTTCATAAATTACATTGTGTAAATGCTGGCACATGCACAAGCTTGCCCCAGAATCACCACAGCCTCCAAAATGATTGCAAACCATCTCAAAGCACGGTCAGGTTAGCTCACGAGCATCGCTCAGCTGCCCAGACAGCCCACCAAACAGGACACCACAGTAGAAAAGAAGGCCATGGCAGCAAGGTTAGTCCTGCCCTGGGTCAGCGTTCAGCCACCCTCCTGAGTGCCCAGGTGGGTTGTCCCAGCTGCAGAGCCCCCCCTCCCTAAGCCCTCCTTCATCTGGGAGATGGGAAGCAAGCAGCTCACACACTGCTTCAAACCAGCTCCAATGAAAGCTTATTTCATCAAGCAAACCCCACCTTGAATGAATTAAATATAAAACACTCAAGGAACTTGAGGCTCAGTAAGAATTCCTAGGAAAACTAAGTGAAATGAGAGAACAGATAAGCTCGAGACTGAAGTCGATTGAAAGTCTTACATACGGCAATCGGCTTGTCTTTGCCCTTGGAGGTTATATCCTTACCATACGTGTCTCCAACCTAGTAATGCACGAGAACTTGGTTTGAGTTCAGGAAAAGGGAGGAACATAAAAATCAATATAACCCTTTGTCTTTATCAGAATTTTATCTCAACCCTTCCAAGGGATCTAAATGCATATGATGACCTAACACATCTTTAATGTCAAACCCCACCAAATCCATGAAACCTGTCAAAGATGGTATGTCCCACATGCAGCGACAGTGGGGAAGTCGGGAAACACTAGGAGTGCAGCAAAGGTGCTCCTTCTACCTGCAACAGCACATAGCAGAATCTGTCACATTCACATGAAGCTGGAAGTATGAAAAGGGTCCCTTAGCATAAAGCTCTTCTATGTCACTGGCATCCACTAGCGATAGGTGCTCCGTGCCAAGTTCTCAGAGGCAAGCCCCACTGAAGTCTCCGCAAAGAGGAAAGGCAGGCACCTGCCTGTGAGCCAGACCAAGGGCCCTCCCAAGGACAGGCTGTTAAGAGCTGACAGCCTGATGCTATCTGAACATCAAGTCTCCTGTACAGAACCTGTGTACCTGTCTCCCTGTTCTGAGAGCGAGGTTTGCATTTGTGGACTTGCATTACTAAAATGAATGATGTTGCTCAAACTAAAACCTTCACTTCCAGAAGCCTTTGCAGAAGATTTAGAAGTAGCATATCTAGTGGTCTGGGTTTGTTTGTTTGGTTGGTTGAGACAGGATCTTGCTATATAGAACTGGCTATCCCTGAACTTTAGGCGATCCTCCTACCTCAGCCTCCAGAGTGCTGGGACTACAGCCACAGCCATGCACCACTTATCTAGTACTTATCATAATGCTTTCAATTCATTTCTTTGTTCCAATAAAACTCAACAAACAACTCTTCCAACATGGAACCTTGGAACTCTACTAAGAAAAGAACACACAAGAGAACTGTTTTAATTTCATCTCACTCACCCTTGATTTATAATTCAAACAATACTTTTCTAACTATTCACTTTAATCTGTGGGCTATTTTTGAAGATTTGCCCTCCCCAAGGACTTTATATGATACCAAATCTTTACTGTGATACAAACTCATCAGAACCAGTCACAGAAACGAGAGTTCCAAAATATCCTCTAACTGCACTTGTGCCCTTTTCAATTTTTAAGAACACATCTTTTGATAGAGAAGAGACATACAGAACAGGAGCCTAGCAGTTCCACTTCCCACCCATGTGAACGTCGGTGCCATCTGCCTGTTCTTCCCTTGTCCCGTCCCCCCACCCAACTAAATATAGCCTTTAGAAAACCCGTCTGCTGCTTCTGATACTGGCTTCCTACCACTGATTCCTTTCAACTGGGCTTTCCTGCTGCCGCAACACAGAGAAGTTATGCTAACCGATCCTGGCCAAGTCTCTCTTCTTCCCTGTCCCTGTCACACTCACTGAGCAACCTCAGGAGCACCTATCTCTTTCAAAGTCTCTCTCCCTGTCCTTCCTCACAGGTAGTGACACTGGTCACTGGCCCACCTTCCTGTGTACTTAAATGCTATTTTCCTCAAATCACCAGATCACTTTTGACTATGCCACACTCAAGTCTTCAGTGATTTCATTACTTCCCTCTCCCTCATAGGTCAAACTACCTTGGATCCTCTGCCACAGAGGCGCAGTCCCCCAAGACAGGCCAGCTCATGGCAGTGGGAGACTCGAGGGATATCTGGTGGCTGAAATCTCACTAAGCCAAAAATAATATCACTTCCTTAATTTTACTTTCTTGCAGATACTTTCCACCTGGGCTTTGCTTTTAGGCATGGATTTTTTTTTTTTTCTTTCTCTTTTAAAGACAGGGTCTTGCTACGCAGCTGAAGCTGGCACTGAACTTGCTATGTAGCAGGCCTTACATTCTTGATCCTCCTGCCTCAGCCTCCCAAGTGCTGGGATTACAGGCATGTATAGCACCCCAGATTGAATTATTTCGTTTTAAATATAGGCATTTTTATGCACAGAAAAAAAGGACCAGGATATGTACACATGGCAGAGAAATGGCAAAACTAAAAAAAGGTGGACATGTGTCATCAGTGTAATTTTTAAAAAAAAAAAAAAAAAAAAAAAAAAAAAAAGCTCAGAAAAAGAAAAGCAGCCCCTGACATATGGGAAGCAGCCTGGCCCCCACAGCTTCACTGTAGCCAAGGTATTCTCCAGAACACGACTGCAGAAGTGACCATGGTGAGATGATACTAAAAATAATCAAAAAACAAGACCACTCTTAACCTTGTCTAAGGGCAGACAAACCCACAGTCACTGCGTAAATTACAGAACCATGCCGCACTGAGAAACTACCAATCACAGCTTTAGCCTTGCTTTATTCCCCACCTCTTAAAGATTTATTTATTAAAATACACAACCATGGAATTACTTTGCGAATGACAGCTTTCAGCCATAGCAAATGCCTCCTTTCTGAAGTTCTGCTCTCCTTGGTCACACCCCACAGACCCAAACTTCACCCCACAGCCCCTAAGTGTGGCCCCTGGGGCAAACAGTACGAAATCCATTCCATGTATTGCTAATGACCTTTGGCGGAAGGACCTGGACACCTGTAACAGCTAACTTAACAAAAGCTGAGGTCTTTGAAAATCAAAACTGCCCAGCTAGTGTGGTTTTTCCTTTTATTCAACATCACAGCAGTTGAGCACAGCATTTAAAAGCCCTCCTCAAAGTAGAGCACACAGAAAACGCAAACACCTGGCCCAGTATCTCAGCAAACAGGCCACATCCCTGGGTGAGACACCCACAGGGAACAAGCCTGTGACACTGACACACCCTCCCGATCCCACTCACATCACTAAATCCCAGTGAATGCAGGGAAACATAGGTGACTGACACCATGTAAGGTGTGGAGATTCTAGCATTTAAACTGAAGATGAGTATATTGAATTAACAAAGACAGTTAAGAGAAAATGAAGTTAACTTATTGATGAAAAGCTATATGGATTAATTTTGAAAAATAAAAACTGGAAGGGAATTTCAAACGAAAATGAGACTACGTGGATAGATACCTTTTAGAGAACAAAGCAGACACTACTCATTTAAAGAGATTTAACAGTTACACAGGACTACACAACATAAAAGGAGGTCAACGTAAATGACCACGGAAAGCATAAATCTCTTCTCAACACTCCTTAAATAAAAAAATCTTGGGCCAGGGATTTAGCTCAGTGGTACCGGGCCTACCCTGAAAGAGCAAGCTCCTGAGATCAATTCCCTGGTATCAAAAAAAAAAGAAAGAAAGAAAAATTTAAATTTAAATTTAAAAAAATTTAAAAAATCTTCCATCTGATTCTTTAGCAGTGAATCTGAGCAGCCTTAAGTGAGCACAAAGGACTGAAGCCCAAAGAACCAAAATCAGACACCAGATTCCATTCATCACAAAGATTAGAAGTCTCCCCTTTATCGATAAGAGACCAAGGTGCCAGCCTGTAACTTCCAAGTCTGCTCCTTCCTCTCAGGAAGACACAGCAGCCCAAAGAAATGAGCCGTGCCAGGCACCAGTATTTGAGCATTTGGGGCCTGCTCGTTGTTGCCAAGAACATTTCCTCATGTCCAAGGAGTCCAGGAAGGTCTACCTGTGGGCTGGGTGCACTCTGCTCAAGTACCCCACTCACCACCACCCATGCTTCTAGGTTGTAGATTATATAGCAATTGGTTTATTTTCTAAACTACTGGAAAGAATGTCTTACTTTCTTTTGCTGCTCAAGTATTTAAGGAAACTGTCCACCTCTACACAAAGAAAGGACATAAACAGTTTAATCTCAGCCCCATAAGCACAACCACCACTTTGATTTCAGGCCTCACGTACTACAGCTTTATTCAACCTGAGAAGAGTCCACTTTCCTTACCTGGGCTCCTCAAAGCAGAGTGGGTCTCTTGCCAAGTGTCCTTTGACTGGCTAGGAATAATTTCCTTAGAAGAAAAAGCTTCACCCTACTGTCTATCATACCTCTAGTCACAGAGGGTTGGTTCTCATTTCTCAGAAGTGATGCCACACCCTTCCAGGTATAACCAGGGAGTGGAGACTGACTCTACCACTCACTAAGTTTTTAAGCACAGTTAAAAATCTGGACTTTTCAAATTCAAAGCCCACTGGATATAAAATAATTTTCCAAGTTACTAAATTATTTGAATCATTTGATGATTATGGGCTAAATTTTAATCCTTAACCACAGTTAAGTTTCTTTCTATAGATTTTTGTGAGAAACCGTCCAATTCAAAACTTCCAAATTCTATTTTTGGTCTTTATATAGTACTATTAACTAAAATTTGGCTAAAGGACAATTAGCAAAAATCTATAGCTCAAGTAAAACTGTATTTGGCAATACTTCCAAGAGGAAACAAGATGTACAAGATGCTTGGAGGGGAAAATCTGTATATATCAAAGTTTAGAACTGGGGCCGGGGATTTAGCTTAGTAGTGCTAGCACCTGCCCTGCAAGCACAAGGTCCTGTTTGATCCCCTGTATGAAGAGAGGAGAGAGAGGAAGAGGAGGAGAAAAGAAGAAGAGAGAAGAAGAGAACAGAATCCATATGTGGACTAGGAATTTAGCTCAGTGGCACCATGCCTGCCATGCAAGTATAAGGTCCCGAGTTCAATCTCTGGTACCACAAAAAATAAAAAAGTTTAGAACTGGCAGGCCTGGTAGTACATGCCCAAAACCCTAATGAGGTGGCTGACACAGGATTGCAAGTTCAAGCCCAATGAGACCCTGATCAAAATTTTAAAAGGGCTGGATGAAGCACTTGCCTAGCATAAGCAACACTCTGGGTTCACTTCCCAGAACAATAATCCATCCATCAATCAATATTTTAAAATCTGGCTGGGGGGATATTTACTTGCTAATTTACTTGCTATTACTCAATTTATCCAAATCATGGAAACGTAAATATGTACACAGGTGATATGTATTAACTAAACACTAAAGTGTTATATACTCTAAGGGACACATTAAAAAATCAGTTGTGATTCTTACTGTTTGCGGATAGGAGAGGGGACGTAATCTGTCATAATCTTCTTGTCCAGCTGTATCCCATAAGCCCAGATTCACTGGTTTTCCATCTACCATAACATTGGCAGAATAGTTGTCAAAGCTGTAGAATGGATAAAAACTGTTAGTCACAGAGGGGACCCCTGCCACAATCCTAGCAGCATCCCAGAGGTGTGCTGACAACCTGGGAAGGGACCTCAGGCTGCCAAGCAGAAAATGCCCCTAAGTCATGAAGAGGTGAAGCCTGGAGGGCAGGGGACAGGAAGAAGGTCCTCAGAATCAACCACACACACTGAGGAAAGAAATGCCTGAAAAACAAAGGACAACCTACTATATTTAAGTAAGAAAACTATCCCAACTAAAAAAAAGAATAAATAAATAAATAACCCAGGCACAGTTGTACACATCCTAATCATAGGCACTCAGGTGGCTTACACAGAAGGTTTTATTTCAAATCAGAGGCCTGCCTGGGCAACTTAGCAAGACCCTGTCTCAAAAAGTGAAAAAAAAGAGGCCAAACATGGTGGTGCACACCTGTAATCCCAGAGTTCTGGAGGCTGAGGCAGCAGGATTGCAGCAAGTTTGAGGCCAGCCTGGACTACACAGTGAGTTCAAGACTAGCCTGGACTACATAGTGAGACCCTGTCTCAAAAAAAAAAAACAAAATGCTGAGGATATAGCTCAGTGCTCCATGGGTTCAATCACTAGTACCAACAAAATAAAGAAAAAAAATTGCCTTTTTAACAGAAAGTTAAGATCTTTCTCCCCAAAGTACAGAATCAGTCCCTCTTTGAAATCCCACCTGCTTAGTTTTTCATGTACATATTTTACTCGTTTTCAGTAAGCATATCCAGAGTGTATGTATGAGTGTAGGTGGTAGCTAGCAGTCTTGGTCACCTGTGCCTGAGTGAAATGGTAACCCAAAACATAACTCAATTTACAAGCCATCCAAAACATTTTTTTTTGGTACCGGAGATGGAACTCTGGTCCTTGTGCTTGCAAGGCAGGAGGAAGAACCACTGAGCTAAATCCCCGGCCCCATCCAAAACATTTTCAAAGTGAAAGGACCTGATCACATTAATGTCTAAATTAGCTTAAAGTTGCTATTCAATTCACTGTAAGAGGCAACACAGAAAACCCATTAAATATAGACTGTCAAGACAGCAATAAGACTGATTTAAATAAGTGCTGCTGGCACCAGAGCAGTTAATAAAGAGGGAAGCATTTTAAAAACAGGTATTTTAATTTAAACCAAAGTAAGAACCTTATATATTAACTTTAAAAGACAAAGCTTAATCTTTATGTACTAATACTAAAATTGGATGGTACCACCATAATGCAAGATCAGAGTCAAAGTCTAAAAGGTTCCAATGTGATTTACAGAATTTAATTACAGAACTAGCTTTCATAAAAAAGTCTGAGGAGGGCCAGGGATTTAGCTCAGTGGTTCTGCTGCCTCACAAGTGCAAGGACCCAAGTTTGAACCTGGTACCAAAAAAAAAAAAAAAAGTTTGAGGAATGTGGTAATTCTGCTTCCACGAGAAAAGATTATTCAATAAATGGTCCTGTGGTATTTTCCAATAAACCAAAAAAACCCCACCAGAACCAAAACCAAACTACTCAGATGCTTTAGCCAGGTGTGGTAGCACACAGCTGTAATCCCAGCACTCAGGAAGCTGAGGCAGGAGTGTCACTGTAAATTCAAAGCCAGCCTAAACCACACAGGAAGACACTATCAAAAAAAAAAAAAAAAAAAAAAGTGGATGGATGCTTACCTTGTATTACACAAAAAATGAATTCTGAACCAATTAAAGACAAAAACTTCAGGCACAAAAATCCTGGAAATAGTAGAATATTTGTACATCACTGAAGCAGGAACGACCTTCCTAAGCATAACATAACACTTTATGAAATGGGAGAGATGGCATTATTGGTGTAAAATGTTAAATATCTAGATGGCAGAAACACCATAATGAAATTCAGAGACAAATGACTTACAAGAGACAAATGGTATTTATTTATAAGATGTTTTGTTGGTAAGACAAATTTTCACTGGAAAATTAGCAAAAGATTTCAACAGGCAACTCTGTTTGTTTGTTTGAGACAGGGTCTTACTATGTAGTTCAGACTGCTCTGGAACTCACTGTGTAGCTCAGTCTGGTTTCAAACTTGTGGCGATCCTACTGCCTCAGCCTCCTGAAGTGCTGGAATTACAGGTGTGTGCCACCACGCCCAGCTTCAGTAGGCAACTCTTAAACTACAAATAAATAGACTGGGAACATTCTCAAGATTTTAATCTCACTAATTATCAGATATGCAAATAATGAGATAACTTTCTTTCAATCCACATTAGTCATAGTATGTATGACAAGGCCATTTCAGTCACATCAAGCAGTTGACAAGCTTTTTGGACAGCAATTTGGGAGAAAAGCTGCGTATTCCTTACCTAAAATGATCAGGACCAGAAACATTTAAAATTTTGGATTTTTAGCCAGGCATAATGGCACATGCCTATAATCCTAGCATTAAGGAGATTGAGGCAGAAGAATGACTACAAGTTCAAGGCCAGCCTGCCACACATAGGGAGTTTAAGCCCAGCCTGAACTACATAGTAAGACCCAGCCTCAAAATATATAAATAAAAATAAATTTCAGATTAGGGTATTTAGATTTTGAAATCTCTATGTTATCTTGGGGATGGGATCAAAATCTAAATACAGAATTCATTTGTTTCATATACACCTTAGACACATAATCTGGGATTTTATATAGCATTTTTAATAATTTTGTACATGAAATAGTTTCACGATGTAGAATTTTCCCCTTGTGGTATGATGTCAGTACTTGATAAATTTTGCATTTGGGGCATTGTGAATTTCAAATTTTCACGTTAGGGATGCTTAATCTCTATCAACATTTAAAATGCCTATTCTCCTTTGAGGTGACAATTCTACTAATAATCTGACAGATGTGTACAAATATATATATATAATGACTTTTGGGGGGGTACCGGGGATTGAACTCGGGTCCTTGCACTTGCAAGGCAGGCCACCGAACCACTGAGCTAAATCCCCAGCCCTATAGGGCTGGGGATTTAGCTCAGTGGTGTCACTCCTGCCTTGTAAGCGCAAGGTCCTAAGTTGGATCCCTGGTACTAGGAAAGAAAAAAAAATTACTAACACAATACCTTCTATAATGCTAAAACAAAGGTGTGAGGGACCCTGGGACCAGTGGTATAATCAATCACAGCACATAATTAAGGAAGCTCTACGTATACAAGTAGAAAAGGAAAATACCCAACATAAATCCAGGACAACCAAGACACAAGGTTTCCATTTTTTTTCCCCCCCATCCTTTTCTGGCACCAGGGATGGAACTCCACCAGACCTTGCACTTGCTAGGCAAGTGCCAGCACCACTGAGCTAAATCCCTGGCCCTCCACTTGTATTTTTAAAATGTGTGCAACATTACAAAGATCCCCCAAGTAGGGTGTTGTACCTGAGCAGGGCACAGCTTGATGTGACTTCTCCCAAACTGTGCCTACTTAACCAGGAGGCAAAGGAGAGGGACATATAGCTCTCTGCAGCCACAGGGTGGTGTACTATGAGGCTTGGCTACTTGGGGTCTCTGGTAACCCATCATCAGAACAGCACTTTTCCTGTGCTAACTTCAGCAGCACATATACTAAGAAAAGCACTTTTCCTTCTTCACCCAATTCTGCAGCCCATGGGAAATAATCAGCCCAACAGCCAGTTATATTCCCCCACAATGGACTCAATTCTAAAGCCCTGTAACTGACAGTGACACAGAACCAAAGGTTGACTCACCAGAATAGACTAATTAAAACCTAACGGAACACTTCGTGTTCCAGTTCCCACTGAACCAAATTTATCTGACATTCTTAAACTGACAAGGCCTTTCTCTAACCAAACTCTGATCAGGTATTTCTTTCTTTATTTTGGTGGGGAGGGGGTGTGTTTAGACAAGATTTCACTTTGTAGTTGATGCCAGCCTTGAACTCCTAGAGATCCTCCTGCCTCAGTCTCCCAAGTGCTGAGATTACAACTACCATACTCAGCATGATTTTCTTTACCAATATTATCCAGCCTCCACAACATCATTCGCAGCTTAACTGTTTCCAAGTATCTAAGAATCAATCCGGAAAGCTGTGTTTATTCTATAAGAATAACTATAAATCAACTATTTTTTTAAAGCCCTAATACCTTATTATTATATTCTTCTCAAGATATGAAAGGAAAACAAGTATCAGATCATATAAAGATTAAGAAAGGACCGGGGATTTAGCTCAATGGTTCCGCCCCAGCCACCTGCTTCACAAGTGCAAGATTCTGAGTTTGATCGTGATACCACCACCACCACCACCACACACAAAAAAGGATTAAAAAAGACTTTATAGCAAAACAAATGGCCGAAGGAACTGGAGAAGCAGACATTAATTCCCAATTTAAATGAAGATACTTACACAGTGGGGATATATTCTCCAGGAAATGCATTGGTTGTATAACTGATGAGTAGGCAAGTTTTACCTACAGCTCTAAAGGGAGAGAGAGAAGAAAAAAAAAAAAGCTGCTTAGTGAACATCAGTGTGATTCCAGCATTTATTATTATACTGTTAAAATAATTTTTAGAAAAATCAAGAAGTTTCCATACCACATTCTTAGCATTAAACAATCAGTTTCTAGAACCTTTACTTTAACACTATGCAGACATTTTCATCCTGAAACTCAAAGTAAACAACCTAGAATTTTTCAGAAAGGTATATTTGGAGCCATCTTGTTCTATGAAGGTATGTGACATTAACACCAGTAGTCAAGAAGTAGTTGTTAAATAAATACAAAATTCAAGAGGAACAACAGTTTAAAATCTAAAATATCCCTTCTGTGGACATCTGTAGAAAGTTAAGCATGTTAAGTTCTATCCCCAGAGTATGCAGATTAACACTAACATAAACACTGCTTGCCTCTGCAATACATACATTTTGTTACTTGTATGCATACTAACTTATTCTGCTGCCTCTGACACAGCTTAAACTCCGGTCACCTTCCTAAAGCCTTCCCCTTGAAAACCAATTATGACTGTTCTCTTAATAGAGTGCTTAGTTAACAAGCCACCACACACAACTGTTCTTGCATTGATTCATGTGTATGCATTACCATAAGCTTCCCTCACCAACGCTTTTAAAGCAGGGGCTAACACATGTCCCAGACACGAGTTCATGGCTCACAGAAGAAGGTATAACATAACAAACTAAAAAGAGAAGAATGCAAAAAATACTCAGGTCAAAAGTGACACCTGCACAACCATGAAGGGGTACAGACTATATTACTATTACAGGTGTACCATCAGGCACAAGTCAGGGTGATGGATCAAAGTTCCAAACCACCTGAACTTTTTTTTTTGTTTTGTTTTGTTTTTTTAAGACAGGGTCTCATTATGTAGTTGAGACTGACCTGGAACTCACTATGTAGCCCAGGCTGGTCTCGAAATCACAGCAATCCTCCTGCCTCAGCCTCCCCAGTGCTGGGATTACAGGCGTGCGTGCCACCATGCCCAGCACTACCTGAACTTTTTTCAAGAAAATATTCCTAAGAATTAAGATCACTTTGCAAAACAATTAAAAATTAAAAATATTTTCTTTTGGGCTGGGGATTTAGCTCAGTGGTTCCGCCGCCCGCCTTGTAAGTGCAGACCCGAGTTCGATCCCCAGTACCAAAGAAAAAAAATTTTTTTTCCTTTAAATCCACAAATAACATTCATAGATAAACTAGAGAGGCTTCTAAGTCCCTGGCATTCCAAGGGCTCGTTTCATGAAATGCTGTCCACAAATGAGGCCAGTTCGCTACTACTGCTGGTTTGCCAAAGTCAAGATAACACAATAGTATTAAGATTTTTTTACTTTTTCTTTCTTTTCTGTTTGTTTTTTGAGACAGGGTCTCACTTTGTAGTTCAGGCTGGTCTTGAATTCACTGTGTAGCCCAAGCTGGCCTGGAACTTACAGTGATCCTTCTGCCTCAGCCTCTTGAGTAATGGGATCACAGGTGTGAGCCACCACACCTGGCAGTGCAAAAATCTTGTTGTTCAACCTCAATTACCATAAATCAGGATTCACCATAAAGAAAGTAAGTACTTTTCTATTTTCCCTCACACTCCAGCTTAAAGAGAAAAATGCCTCAACAGGGGCAGATTACAGGACCATTCAGTCTTGCCAATACTTGTTTTACTCAAAACATTATTAAGTGCTTAAACAAAACTTGGAACTTCCCACCCCAAAGACCTCACAATCAAATATTACTTCATCAGGAGGTAACCTCCAACTCTTAGTTTTTTTAAACAGAAATGACTCATTGGATACACATTCTGTAAAAGGATGAAAATGTCAAAATAAGCCTAAAGAGCAAAAGCCTAAGATGTAGAGTCAAAAGCCTGGATGTGACACAGAGCCTATTCTATCATTTAGTAGCTGTCATTTTTTGACAAGTTCAAACTTCCTCATATGCCTCCGTTTTCTTGCCCATAAAAAGGATGCAAAACTACCAATCCTTCACCAAACTATTGTGAGCTTTGATTCAACTTCAATTTAGACTAAGTATGTGCTTTGCCAGGAAGTATACTGAGTGCTAAAAATAATGTAATGGAGACTTCTTGCAGTATGTGCAATTATTAAATAAAAAATGAAGAACAAAATGTACAAGTATGAGAATGTTATTAAAGATGCTCTGGGAGTATATAGGCAAAGATATAACCTAGTCCTGGGGGAGGCTAGAGGGGCTGTGATGTATGTTAAGTCTGTGAAGAATGGCAACAGGATGGCAGAACAAACGCAGCAGCCTATGGGGAGGCCCAGAGCTGAAGCCCAGTATAACAGAAGAACAAAGAAATATGGGGGAAGGAACAGAGGAAAATTTGAAGAGGTTGTCATTTCTTGTGGAAGATGTGGGATGAGCCTACTTGGGAAGACACAGGAGGTTCTGAGGTTGCCAAGAATGCATCAGATTTTAGAAGAAGCCTCTGAGTGCACTGTGGAAAGGGGCCTGAAGAAGCTAGGACTGGAGGCAGGAAATAAGGAAGTGGCTACTATATTCCACTTCCAATCCTGTGCAGTGATCTGGACCAAGCAGGGAGTTGAAGGTAGAGATGAGCGGACAGTTTCAGGAGCTCCTCAGACGTGGGGGCAGTGCACTGGTAGTTGAGGAAGTGAGTAGATACTAAAGCCATGACAAGTGAACCCTTTTTCAAAAATGATAAATGTTGTATAGAAAATATTAACAATCTTAACAATACTAAGGTTATACAACCAATGTACAAAAAGCTACCATAATCATTAAAGGCTTCAAAACATTAAGGTTCTGCATAAAATTTCTATAACATTCAAGGCTGAAGTTGCTACACTTAATAGCCGAAGTCTGAAGCAGGCCTTATTCTAGATCACCTGTCTACAATTATCAAGTCCAATTCTGGAGCAATGGATAGGATTCAGCTGAAGTTAAAAGTCAAAAGAATTTACCTGGGTGTGGGGGCTCACACCTGTGATCCCTGCACTGAGAGGCTAAGGTTCAAGCTGAGCCAAGGCAATTTAAAAGTCTTAGACCAGATCTCAACACAGGGAAAAAACAAAACAAAACACTTGGGGTGTAGCTCAATGTAAAGGTCTGTTTAATCCCCACGACAGAAAAAAATTGTATCTAATTGTACACCACCCTATTTTTCAACAGCCACTCCCCTATTAAGTCCTCTGATAATGGGAGGTCACGTGATAAATCAAATAGAACAAAATGTTGGTTATGGATTCTAGATGGTGAGTATTCAGGTACTGACTACACAATTCTTTGAACTTCTCTGTATGTGAAATTTTTCAGACAAGATTGGGTGCATTCAGGGTGATGAATATGTTAGTGGAGTCAACTGTGGTGCACACCTGTCATCCCAGCACTCTGGGAAGCTAAGACAAAAGGATTCCAAGTTCAAGCCCTACCTGGGCAACATAAGAGAGCTCCTTCCTCAAAATAAAAAAATATGAAAAGGACTGAGGATGTTGCTCAATGTGCAGTTCCTGGGTTCAATCCCCAGTACTGAAAATGGAAAAACAAAAATTGGTGGAAAACAATTTCTTTTGATGACAGGTGCACTAATAGCAAAATTCCCAATAAAACATTTCCTTTCTAGTCAAACGGTAATTACAAGATAGAGCTGTCTGGTGATATAGCGGTGAAAAAGTAGGAAGTACTAAGATATCAGATGTTTGTACAGGGTGGACTAAACGTTTCAAAATTGGCATCCTAATATTCTTCCATGTAACTCAATCCCAAACTTTTCTTAGTATTATCATTTAAATTTTATTTATTTATGGTGGTGCTGGGGATCTAATCAAGGACTATGTACATTAGGCAAATGTAACACTGAGCTAGATTTCCCAGTCTTATCATGTAAAATTTTAAAAGAGCATTGTGTATAATTTTATCAATCAAGATCAGAATTATACACTAAATTTGGAAGCCAACTTAGAACTCAAATGTCTTTATAACATGTCAGAAATAAACACAGGCAGGCTGGGAAGAAGTTCAGTGGTGCCATGCTTGCCTGGCAAGAGCAAGGTCCTGAGTCTGATCCCCAGTAATGGGGGTGGTAATCACAGGCAAGCATGGTGGTGCACACCAATAATCACTGCACACTGGAGTCTGAAGTAAGAAGATCGAGAAGTTCAAACCCAGCCTGGACAACTAAGTGACTCTACCTAGAAAAGAAGGAGGCTGAATCAGGATTACAAATTTGAACCCAAATGGGGCAACTCAGTGAATTAGCAAGATCCTATCTCAAAAAAAAAAAAAATTTTTTTAAAGGGCCAGGGCCAGGGCTTAGTGTGAATGCCCTGATTTCAATACCAGTACCAGAAAAAAGGAGAAAAAAAAAAAAGTGTTGGCTGTGGGTAAAGCACAACAAGAGCATATGCCATTCTCAGCACCAATTATAATACATAAAAAGTTGTTTATAAATACTTGATGGGAGACACTATAAGTAAAGAAAAGACCATCTCCAAGCAGAGCTTCCTGGAGAAGTTATAGGTACCATGTTCTGTCCCACAAAATTTCAACCCATACTTAATATTTCATAACAATTTCTGAATAAAACACTATTCCAACTATAGCTTCAGAAATAGCTTACTGAATTAAAAGCAGAAAAATATTTTTGGTATGAAAAATCATGCATACAGATTTTTCATTACAGTATTTGCTATCCGTCATCCTTTTAAGTAACCCTTTAAATTTTCTGTAAAGGTTGTATTGCTTTTTTTTTTTTTTTTTTTTTTTTTTTTTTTGTACCGGGGATCAAACTCAGGACCTTACGCTTGCAAGGCAGGCACTGGAACCACTGGGCTAAATCCCCAGCAAGGTGTATTGCTCTTAATGCTCACATCTAGTCAAATACTGTACTAAAATGTCAAATACTGTACTAAAACCAGACTGAAATTTCAAAGCTAGGAATTGTGTTTCTATGTCCAGTACTCCCTCACCAAGCCTCAGAGCAGCAGAAATGGTG